GTGATTGCATGATTATATTTTCGATGTCGCAAATGTGATCGCATATAATTATCTTTGCAAATAATTATTATTTGCGATGTCACAAAATTATCGCAAATATTTTGTCACATAGTTTGCATGATATCATGTTGTACCGGGCTATTTTTTCCCCAAGAAACTAGAGCAAATTTGCCGTCTAAACGTACGTATAACGTATGGTACCCGACTTCTCTCCCGTATATGCACATGTTAACGGAATGCAGGCTGGAATTCAAACAACTTTAAGACCCTCTAGTTTCTTGAAAAATAGCCCGGTACAAAATGCAATCTGTGCAACAAAGTATGCTACAAAATTTGCAACATCGCAAACATTTGCAAAGAGTGTCTGTCTGATGTCGGTCTGTCTGTCTGTCTGATATGTCTGCAGGCTCTGATTTAAGTGTTTTGTAGGCCCTAGGCACCAGTGTTCCAGGCCCTTCTAGTTCTCCGCCCTAGGCACTGGCACCAAGTTCGTCATATTAAAGTACAAAGCACTGTACAAATCAAGTCAGGCCAAACTGGTGAACGTCCTATAGCTCTACAAGCCTGTTGGCACCAAGGGCGTCAATCGCTTCTTAAACGTGGGGGTTATAACATAGTCATGTGTATCTTGATCAGAACTAATGTGAGTGTCAATTAAGCCTAAACGGCGTGGGGGCGGGGCCCGCTTATAAGGGCCCTGAAAAAAAAATGGATTCTAGACGCTCTGTGGTGCGCTGATCTGAGGCAATTTCTGACTACTTTTCCAGTTAAAACCAAAAGAACATCATTCAAACATATTTTTCGACTTTGGAGTCATTGAATTAGCTATTCTGAGCTATAGAATCAAATATAGGCCAGATTTGTTTTATTCGGGGACGAAATAGTTGGGGGGGGGGGGGGGGACGACATTCCCCCTCCCCCGTCCCGCGCCGATCGACGCCCATGGTTGGCACCGTGGCTTCAGAACGACAGACTACACGTAAATACGTATAGGGGCTACATGACGTATGCCTATGTTGTTCCGTGTCTGTAAACTGTGAAATTGAACATTCTAAGAGAGACTCTATACAACTTTTAAAAAGTTTTCTCTGCGTGTCGGGGTATGTATGGGGGTAGGCCAATTTATGTGTTTTATGGCGCACTGCGGTATTGTGGTGTTCCCTAACAGAAAAGGAAATTTCATCAAGTTGTATTACACTCCCGTTCATAAATCGCGAGTTTTCTCATGTAGGCCTAGTATTGCCAAACTTCAAATTCATTCATTGAAATACTGGTACTTTTCCCTTATTAATGCTTGCTATTTAACCTCTGTGAACAATTTCGGTGTCATAAAATTTAATCCGAAATTCAAAACAGTGGCGTGCGGAAATTGGGCTCAAAAACGGCTGACTTTTTCCCCAACGTGGCGCACTTGAATAAATTTCGGAAAATTCCAAATTAACATTTAAGAATTTATGCAAAGTTGATAAATTCCGATAAACCATTATTATCTCTACTTACATACCCAACAAGAAGTTTGTCAGAAAATTATTTTCTTATTTTCAAACCGGGGTTCACTGTGCACTTCGAAATAAACTCGGAAAATCACGCCGAAATACATTTTTCTTCTAACTTTGTAACGGGGGTATAGATAAACTCGCGATATATGAACAGGAGTGTTTAGAACTTGATGAAATTTCCTTTCCTGTGAATTTTCAGTTATATAGGCCTAACTTAAATTTGCTCTAGCTCTTCTTTCCTTTTTCATTGTTTTCTTTTTCCTTTTTTCATTTGTTCACGTTGTAAACATATAGGTGTATAGTCTATGTTCTTTTTAATTCATCGCTGTACATACTGTCTGAAATTGTGAATTCTTGTTTACAGTCGTGTTATCTTGTTTGATCCTATCCTTCCCTGATGTGGCTTTCCTTTTGATCGATACAGTGTGCAGTGTGAATTTTTAATGTTAATTGTGACCTGTTCTGTCAAAAGCAGACGCTTCTGGGCAAAGGTTGAAATTAAGATAGGGCCAACTTAAAAACTCTGTGAGGGTGATTTCTTTTTTTATTTTCTAATTTTTGCATATTTGTAATCTTGAACATGTCTTAAATATACAATAAATATTTGAAACCCTAATTTGAACTCTAAATATAGTATTGTTGATGATTTGTTAAGGGATATCAGTTATAGAAATGTCACTTGAAACAGTCTTAAAATAGACCCCAAACTTGAACTGCCATTTTCTCCATTTTCTACTTTTCGACACGATGAACTTCAAAATAGCATAACTTTGCCCAGGAATGACCAGTTTCAAAAATTAAACCACCTATTAAAAGAAAAATGTACATATTTTAACAATATGCACAAATCTAATTTTTGACCTTAGGCCCAGAAAAGTCTGATTTTGACAGAACAGGTCACAATTTTGCTTAGTAGTTTTATGTATCCCATTCTGGTTTTTTAGGTTTGACGTGGCATTTGTGTAACTATTGTAACGAAATATTGCTTCGCGCACTGGGCTTCCGTAGCTGCTGAGCGCTGGTGCGCAGGCTGCGTTCCGTGCGGCAGTGCGCGTCGCTGGTGCTCTGCGTGCAGTGTATATAAGCGCGCTGCACGTGCGTCGCGGGCGTCTTTCCGCTGCTTGCTCTTGCTCCGTGCGGACGAAAGCAAGTACGCTCTGCCGTTGCTCGCTGGCTGTTGGATTGGTGGGATTAGGCTGTACCCCGTGAACCCTAGTTGCGGGGTGAGTAGCTGCGTCTTAGGCTTATCGGTCCCGATGTCTATTGTAATTACCCGATTGGTGATTGTTTGTGATTCTTAATTATAAAGTCCCCAAGAGATAATCATCGTTGGTGTGCGAATCAACCCTGTAATTAGCGCCTATATAGGAACCTGTGAATTACCTTGAATAAATCAACCAGTTCAAGTATATAAGCCTGGTGTGGTGCATAATCTTTGACGTGTCTACCCTTGTGTGGTGGGCGTGTGTGCGTGGTGTGCAGACCTAGGCGCCTGGAGGTAGACTTCCCCCAAAACGAGTCCGCCCCTCAGGCCTCTGCGGTTACCGCTCGTCGTGGAGGCCGAAGCCCATTATTTAGTCAGCGGCAGACGCCGCCTGGTAAAGTCCGCTACACTATGTAATTTTTCTTTGATTACAGTCCTTCATGCTTTAAGTCCAACATTTTTGCATTGAATTTGTTTGTTTGTTTTTGTGTTGTTAATGATCAAGTTTTCGTTGTTATTTTGCTGTATTTGTTATTGTGAAGCTTTGTAATAGAATTGCTTGAAATAAACGGAGTCTTGAACTCCACTGCGAAAGAAAAAAACCCTTCTAAAAACACGTCAATTGAGGGCGCACTGACCAGCTAGCGCGGGTGCAGCACGCGCGCAACAAACGTAAACATCGACTCCATAGCTGGGAAAAATGAAACATGACATGGTGCTCCAACCATGTGTTTATGCATTTTGTCACGGTAGGCATCATCATTCATTGTAATCGACCAGGCCTGCTCGGGCCCATCACAAGTCCCGTCCAAAGTAAATCTTTACTAAGTCCTTTTCACAAGAACAGCGCACGAATGCTTTTGTGACGGTTTATTTGCTTGTTTAGCTTAATTTGTAATGACTAAAGATAGACCCGTCATGCCCGTGAACGTGGCTTGTAAACGCCACGTTCACGGGTCTAGATTTAATACTAGTGAGGACTTGAGTGGGCTTCTGATCAACTTGTGTATCGATACGTTTCGTTCATATTCCTCCATGGTATGACTCGACTACACTTTTGCCATTTTCATTCCCAAATTCCCACATTGTCATCATGATAATATTGCTGACTATTTTTGCCTCCTTGTTTTATAAACAGATAGGCTGGGTGATCATTTAAACTGAAACGTAATGGGAATAATTCCCACACTTTTGTGATCAATTGTGATCACAATTTGTGATCATGCATTGTTATGATAATAACCTTTGTCATGTTTGTAACGTAGATTCCATTGACGTGTGTCAAGCAGCTGCACTTCATTCATAGTGCTAGCTATATCTGTCGGTGTACTTCCGGGTTCACCGGGTTGAACTGTCAAACGAGAACCGGTGCTGGTAGTTTTTTTTTTTTAAACTCTATGTTTATCAATGAATGAAGTCTTTGAACACTTGTCATCAATTCTCATGATTTTCCCAGCTGCCAACCAACGGGGATGCACGAAGTGTAGATACAAGACTGTCACATATCAGTTACATTATTTTTCAAACTGTAGCTTTCGTTTGAAAATTTCATCTGAACTGCTTGCAATTTAAAGAATAAAAAAGAATTGGTTCCAAATTCAAACTCTCGCATTAGTTGACTTGGTGGATCTTTAAACAAAACAGTGAAGGAAAGATTTCCATATATACGAAGTTCACTCAACACCCTGTGTACAAACCCTATGAGATTGGACTGAAAAATTCTAAGTGTTTTCTAAGAAAATGCTTGTATTTTCTCACCGCTCAAATTGACTTTGATGGCATGAAATTGCTAGCTGGGGGCTTGTTAGTCAATACAGAGGAAAATTAGTGAACTTCGTATATGGAAATCTTTCCAAAAGTGAATTTGAATTTATGGCATTGATCAGAATTAAAAAAAAGAAGAGTTTGATAGTTTAATTAACATGTTATTAATCAATGTGTTTTTCTTTGGATTTAATCAGTTTTCATATTTCTTTGTCTCAATTATTGAAGATCCTTGTTTGATAAACCTGTGCCTAAATGGTGCAACGTGCCAGTTCGTTTCGTCGATTTCCTACAGGTGTCAGTGCAGGGATGGGTATAACGGGCCACTTTGTGGACACCGAGATACAGGTGAAGCATAAATCATTTATTCATCTTGTCCAAAATAAAAGCAGGAAGCTGTGATTTTTTATAGAATGGAACTCCGAGTCTACTTTGCCCTTGAATAGTTGTAGTGCATAATACTTAAAATAAAAAATTAAAAAATTTGACGTGTTTATTTCACAAATCCCTCTTTATTAGAGTTATAAAGCACTATGTCTATGTATATTAAGTGTTATTGATTATATTTGTCTCCGTTTTTAGCTGGCGAATGCCCACCGCCTACCGGTGCAGGAATCTGCGTTGAGGCGTGTTCTAGTGATTCCTCGTGTCCTGATCGACAGAAATGTTGTTCTAATGGATGTGGCCATGTCTGCACCACTCCTGTGCCAGGTAAGCACTACGCAGCTAGGAGCGATACACCTATAACTGAACACATTCCTCGCAAAGACAGTAGAACCTCATCAACTTGTTGCAAATGAAAGAATGAAACCAGTCCATTACGGTAGACAAAATAAAGAGCAAATGAAGTTATTCACAGAGTTAGTGACAAATTTGTACTTAAACTGAATGATGATAACTGAGACGTGGTTTTGTACAGGTCATAATTCCCACGTTTTTGTGATAAATTGTGAAAATAATGATCTTTTTTTACAGTTTCTGTTGACGTGTGTCAATCTGCTCCGTGTCAAAACGGCGGCATCTGTACTTCATTCAACGGTAGCTATACCTGCCATTGTACTTCCGGGTTCACCGGGTTCAACTGTCAAACGGGAACCGGCACTGGTAAGTGCTGAGAATGATGTCATTGAAATATCCTTCTCATGAGAATTTTGTATTGATTTAATTGATTGCTGCATGATAAAGTTCTGTAGGCTGACCCTGTTGACTCCATCCTGGTAGATGTCTGGTGCTTATCTGTGACGGAAACCCTCTTGGTCGTTACAAGTTCAACTACCAGGGCTTTTCACTGTAAAGAATGATGGGCAAAACAACAAGAATATATGGCACAGCAGTGGCATAGCCACAGCCACCCAGGGGTTGGGGTGGGGGGGGGGGGGGGGGGGGGTAGGGGGAAGGGGGTATATACCCCCCCCCCAATATTTGTACAGACTGCCCATTTGTATACAAGTGCCCTTTTGTGACCTGGTTTTACCCCCCCCCCCAAATAACGTTTATGAAGAGTGCCCTTTTTAAAACAAGTCCCCTGTCTTATCAGCGGCCATTGACGAGTACCCTTTTTGAAATTTCACGCGACCATTGGCACCACCTATTGTCTGAAAAGCGCCACCTATTGTCTGATAGTGTCCATGATCGTCTGGTTTAAACAACACCCTCATAGGAAGATGGTACCAGGGCCCCTCCCTCCCCTCTCGGTTTATAGGGACATCCAAGTGACCAGAGAAAAGGCACTGTCTACATTTGATTTCGGCACGGATGTGCGAGTGCCCTTTTCAGGACCTTTTTACCCCCTAATAAAACTGACCTTAATTCGGGCATTTCACAATGCAGTGCGCCACCAAGAGTTTGCCGTGGAGAGTCCATTATTCAAGTTTACGGTCGACAAAACATGGCCCATTTGAGTGAGTGTCAGTAGACAACTTGAGCTAATTTGTTAAAGATTGGGGCATAGCGTTCAGCCGCCTTACAAAAAAACTCCACATTGATAAAGAGAAAAGAAAAGGGCAAACAAATACTTGAATCATGCTTACGAAAATACTGACTGGAAAAAAACTAACAATTTCAAATGTCCCGCGCTGCGAATTTGTCGACCATTTCCCACAATGCACCGGAAAAAATGAACTCTCCGTGGCAAACTCTTGGTGGCGCACTGCATTGTGAAACACCTGAATTGCTGCAGCACTGCATAGGAATGTTTGGTACAGAGATTTGCAACCATCCACATCAATCTTCTTTCAACTAAGTTCAAACCATTTTGGCGTCCACTCAAATGAATCACATTTTTGTTTTCTAATTTCTTGAAGATTACTGTTCATCTCACCCATGTCTGAATGGAGGGCGTTGTGTGTCTTCGGCCAACTCATACCAGTGTGATTGCACACCAGGATATGTCGGTGTTCGATGTGATATAGGTATAAACGCAAACAACTTTACCACATAGGCCTACACAATAATTGTCCCCTCAAGTTCCCTTAAGTTTTATATTTTCAAACCAGTCTAAAACATAGTGTTTAATACCGGCCAAGCACATATTCCCTTAATTTATTCACACTCTGGCAATAAATAATTGCCAAATCTTTTGAACTTTTTCAACCCGGAGTGTTATAATTATGTATCAGGTTGCACGAAAGAAGAATTTGAGTAAATGAATCTTTTTTTCTTTGATTCTATTAGAAATAAATGAATGTGCATCTAATCCATGCCTTAATGGCGGTGTATGCAGCAACGGTGTAGGCAGATATGTGTGCTCCTGTAGGTCAGTCTATACCGGTACACACTGTGAGGTGTACGGTCATACATCAACAACGCCCAGCCCAACCCCAGGTTAGTTACTCATGATTTCCTTGGACTTCTTGTAGATGAAGGCATTGTTCAACTAGAAGACGAACACGAACAAGCTGGGAACCAGTGAAAGCAATATAAATCACATGACTAGTTCAGCTGGTAACCTCGCTTCTCTGAAACAATTTCTTTTGTAGCCGGCAATTTATGCACTTTACAACTGTGGGCTGAAATCTCCTTAACTGCTTGGTTTTTAAATCAAAGTATTAGAGTGGGCTGATATTCTATCCTTAGCAAGGACGTCTTCAGATGCATACATATAGAAGGGATAGAAAAGGAAATCTAAGAAAAAGTAAGTTAGTTCTTCCAAGTAGAAAGATAATTACTGAGGTTACACTTTAACTTTCCACAGCAATATGAGTGGTGGTTGAATTGGAGTTGACAGTTAAAGTAAACAGACATACACATAATAAAGATTCACGTCTCAATCTTGCCTCCTTGTTTTGTAAACAGAAAGGCCGGGCCAGTGCCCAGCGCCTACCGGTGCAGGAATCTGCGTTGAGGCCTGTTCTAGTGATTCCTCGTGTCCTAATCAACAGAAATGTTGTTCTAATGGATGTGGACATGCCTGCGTTAATCCCGTGTCAGGTAAGCATAACTAGGAAATAGTTTGGAAGGTGTCTGTTCACATGTGAGAGTTAGAGTCCATATCATGTGAAAAGACACCAGACTTCATAGGAGTCTAAATTTCATAGACACCAATCGAACGTAAGAAGTTGACCTAATTGGGATTTGCACCTGGGCCAAATGTTAGAGAGATGCTGGGCAGATATAAGCTTAGCAAGTTTGTAAGCTGAGAGAAAAACCCATGAAGACACAAACAAAAAACCTCAAAACCAATATAAAACACACCCACCCAAAAAAGGGAAAATCGGTCAAATTCCATTTACAGCACGTTGTACAGCGTGTGTCAATAAAAACGCAGGATTAGAAACAAAAATATTAAGAATATAAACCACCCCTATTCATCATAATGTTAACCCTCTTTTCAAAGTACCTTTCCTTCTCTTCACTATGCTTTTTATCCCATCTCATTTGGACAATCCTGTCCAGAGATAGAGTACATTGAAGAAGGGTTATAAATTCCAAGCTGGTCTGATTTGTGAAATCACACGTACCTAATGAAAGGTTTGAATTCAGTACAGGTGAAAGTATTTGTGGATCACAAAGAAGGACATGTGTGGCAGGATTAGGCATTGATATGTCAGAGACGACATTCATGATGCTTTGAAACAATGATAGTCCAGTTATTAAATTTAAGTGATACTTATCATCAGTTGTTTCAAAGAAAGTTTTGTTCTGGTTTAATTGTCTTCAATGCATACCTGCATTGTACATAACTGGTCGTTGTGTTAAGGTCATTGAATCAGACCAACCCGCTTCAGAAGGGCTTCACAAAACTTGTCATAACTTTTGAACCAAAAGTCCAAATTCCACCAAACAAAAATCTTGTCAAAGATGAAATTATGGACAATCAAATCCTTATCAAATTAGGCACACCAGTAGCATAATTTTCTCAGAAAAAAAATCGCTTTGAATCCTGCGTTTTTATTGACACACGCTGTAGTTTAGACTTTAACTTTATTTTGCTAGAAACATGTTTTCTTACTCAACAAATGTTTGCATTGGACTGCTCCATTCCTCGATCTTGTGTTACTAGTGTAATTATTCCACCTTTTTGAAAAAGACAAATATGTCTTTCCTCTGAACTATAAGATTACCAGGATGTTACAGAACTATTTGTCCCATTGTGATTTCATTAACGACGCTATTTTTTACTGAAATCGATCACTTCAATACACTTTTCTTGTTCTTCAGATGTCTGCAATCCGAACCCTTGTCTTAATGGCGGTAACTGTTATCAAAGCTATACATCGCCGGGGTCTTACACATGTATTTGCGCCGATGGATTCTACGGATCAAACTGCGAGACAAGTTCAGGTCAGTGCAGTTTATATCCAACTTTTGAAAGAAAGCAAATTTACAAACTGGTGGTTGAATAGGAGTTGACAGTTAAAGTAAACAGACATACACAAAATAAAGATTCATGTCTCAATCTTGCCTCCTTGTTTTGTAAACAGAGAGGCCAGGCCAATGCCCACCACCTACCGTTTTTGGAATCTGCGTTGAGGCGTGTTCTAGTGATTCCTCGTGTCCTGATCGACAGAAATGTTGTTCTAATGGATGTGGCCATGCCTGCACCACTCCTGTGCCAGGTAAGCACCACCACAGCTAGGAGCAATACACCTATAACTGAACACATTCCTCGCAAAGAAAGTATCAGCTGATTTTCATCAACTTGTTGCACAAGAAAGAATGAAAACCTTCGAACGGTAGACAAAATAAAGAGCAAATGAAGTTATTCACAGAGAGTTAGTCACAAATTTTGATTTAGACTGAATGATGATAACTGAGACGTGATTTTGTACAGGACAAAAATAATTCCAACATTTTTGTGCTAAATCGTGAAAATAATGACCTTCTCTTGCAGTTTCTGTTGACGTGTGTCAATCTGCTCCGTGTCAAAACGGCGGCATCTGTACTTCATTCAACGGTAGCTATACCTGCCATTGTACTTCCGGGTTCACCGGGTTCAACTGTCAAACGGGAACCGGCACTGGTAAGTGCTGATAAAGTGTCATTGAAATATCCTCATGAGAATTTCGTATTGATTTAATTGATTGCTGCATGATAAAGTTCTGTAGGCTGACCCTGTTGACTCCATCCTGGTAGATGTCTGGAGCTTATCTGTGAGGGAAACCCTCTTGGTCGTTACAAGTTCAACTACCAGGGATTTTCACTGTAAAGAATGATGGGGAAAACAACAAAAATATATGGCACAGCAGTGGCATAGCTACCCAGGAGTTGGGGGGTTGGGGGGGGGGGGGGGGGGGGGGGGTAGGGGAAGGGGGTATATACCCCCTCCCCAATATTTTGTACCGACTGCCCATTTGTATACAAGTGCCCTTTTGTGACCTGCTTTTACCCCCCCCCCCCCAATAACGTTTATGAAGAGTGCCCTTTTTTTAAACAAATCCCCTTGTCTTATCAGCGGCCATTTACAAGTACCCTTTTTGAAATTTCACGCGACCATTGGCAGTTGTGCTGGCCTGAAAAGCGCCACCTATTGTCTGATAGTGTCCATGATCGTGTGGTTTAAAAAACGCCCTCATAGGAAGATGGTACCAGGGCCCCTCCCTCCCCCCACCCCTCGGTTTTGATTTTAGGGACGTCCAAGTGACCAGAGAAAAGGCACTGTCTACATTTGATTTCGGCCCGGATGTGCGAGTGCCCTTTTCAGGACCTTTTTACCCCCTAATAAAACTGACCTTAATTCGGGCGTTTCACAATGCAGTGCGCCACCAAGAGTTTGCCGTGGAAAGTCCATTATTCAAGTTTACGGTCGACAAAACATGGCCCATTTGAACGAGTGTCAGTAGACAACTTGAGCTAATTTGTTATAGATCGGGGCATTGCGTTCAGCCGCCTTACAAAAAAACTCCACAAAGAGAAAAGAAAAGGGCAAATGGATACTCGAATCATGCTTACGAAACTACTGACTGGAAAAAACTAACAATTTCAAATGTCCCGCGCTGCGAATTTGTCGACCATTTCCCACAATGCACCGGAAGAAATGAACTCTCTGTGGCAAACTCTTGGTGGCGCACTGCATTGTGAAACGTCCGAATTGCTGCAGCACTGCATAGGAATGTTTGGTACAGAGATTTGCAACCATCCACATCAATCTTCTTTCAACTAAGTTCAAACCATTTTGGCGTCCACTCGAATGAATCACATTTTTGTTTTCTAATTTCTTGAAGATTACTGTTCATCTCACCCATGTCTGAATGGAGGGCGTTGTGTGTCTTCGGCCAACTCATACCAGTGTGATTGCACACCAGGATATGTCGGTGTTCGATGTGATACAGGTATAAACGCAAACAACTTTACCACATAGGCCTACACAATAATTGTCCCCTCAAGTTCCCTTAAGTTTTATATTTTCAAACTTGCAACATCAAATTTGATTCGGATGGAGTTCTGTGGGAGTACCGTCAATTTTAGCACAATGTTTTATTTCATAATAACGTTTTCTCGTTGCTAAATGGGAACTGACCAAACATCATAAGAAAGTAGAAACTTATTTCTATCAACTTTTTGCAAATAAATCAATGCAAATAGTTTTTCTACTAGTAGGCAAAATAAATGAGCAAATGAAGATATTCATTGATTTAATGACGATTTCTGATTTTAAATGAATAATGATGACTGAAACGTAATTCATAAACACCTATTAAGACAGTTTACCCATACCTAATTGGTCGAGAGCGCATCTTGTGGCCAGTTTGATATGGTTGATAAAGACATGGCTAGCTGGTCTTAAACAGTTTTCCAGTGTCACATGAAATTGGGACTCCTATGACATCTGGAGTCGTTACCATTGTATTAGTTGAATCCTCAGGTAGGCATGTGCAGTACTACCAGCGAGTCGGTATTTTATCGTCCTAATTTATCGTACTGCATTCTGCGCTACATCATGCAGTACGCGCATCGCGCACGCCAGTCTCCATATAAGGCATTGTTTACGACTGACTTGTGAGAGGGCCATACCATAGCATAGCTTGAGGGGTGTTTTGAAAATAAGAAGTGAAATTGTTGAACAAAATGGTTGGAAATTTATAATTATTGACTAGTTTTGACTTATCACCCTCGCCTTCCACTCAGGTAATTATCAGCATCCAGACTCCAACCAGTCTAAAACATAGTGTTTAATACCGGCCAAGCACATATTCCCTTAATTTATTCACACTCTGGCAATAAATAATTGCCCAATCTTTTGAACTTTTTCAACCCGGAGTGTTATAATAATGTATCAGGTTGCACAGAGAAGAATTTGAGTAAATGAATCTTTTTTCTTTGATTCTATTAGGAATAAATGAATGTGCATCTAATCCATGCCTTAATGGCGGTGTATGCAGCGACGGTGTAGGCAGATATGTGTGCTCCTGTAGGTCAGTCTATACCGGTACACACTGTGAGGTGTACGGTCATACATCAACAACGCCCAGCCCAACCCCAGGTTAGTTACTCATGATTTCCTTGGAGTTCTTGTAGATGAAGGCATTGTTTAACTAGAAGACGAACACAAACAAGCTGGGAACCAGTGAAAGCAATATAAATCACATGACTAGTTCAGCTTGTAACCTCGCTTCTCTGAAACAATTTCTTTTGTAGCCGGCAATTTATGCACTTTACAACTGTGGGCTGAAATCTCCTTAACTGCTTGGTTTTTAAATCAAAGTATTAGAGTGGGCTGATATTCTTTCCTTAGCAAGGACGTCTTCAGATGCCTACATATAGAAGGGATAGAAAAGGAAATCTAAGAAAAAGGAAATTAATTCTTCCAAGTAGAAAGATAATTACTGAGGGTCTTTAACTTTCCACAGCAATATGAGTAGTGGTTGAATTGGAGCTGAAAGTTAAAAGTATTAACAGACATTAACCAAATAAAAATAAATATCTCAATCTTGCTTCCTTGTTTGGTAAACAGAAAGGCCGGGCCAATGCCCACCGCCTACCGGTGCAGGAATCTGTGTTGAGGCGTGTTCTAGTGATTCCTCGTGTCCTGAACCACAGAAATGTTGTTCTAATGGATGTGGACATGCCTGCCTTAATCCCGTGTCAGGTAAGCATAACTAGGAAATGGTTTGGAAAGTGTCCGTCCACATGTGAAGGTTAGAGTCCATGTCCAGTAAAAAGACACCATACATCATAGGAGTTTTAATTTCATAGACACCGATCGAACGTAACATTAGTTGACCTAATCGAGATTCGCACCTGGTCCAAATGTTAGAGAGATGCTGGGCAGATATAAGCTTAGCAAGTTTATAAGTTAAGCAAAAAACCCATGAAGACACAAACAAAAAACCTCAAAACCAATATAAAACACTCCCACCCCAAAAAAGGAAAATCGGTCAAATTCCATTTACAGCACGTTGTAGTTAAGACTTTTTTGTTGCTAGAAACATGTTTTCTTACTCAACAAATGTTTGCATTGGACTGCTCCATTTCTCGATCTTGTGTTACTAGTGTAATAATTCCACCTTTTTATAAAAGACAAATAAGTCTTTCTTCTGAGCTATAAGATTACCAGGATGTTACAGAACTATTTGTCCCATTGTGATTTCATTAACGACGCTATTTTTTACTGAAATTGATCACTTCAATACACTTTTCTTGTTCTTCAGATATCTGCAATCCGAACCCTTGTCTTAATGGCGGTAACTGTTATCAAAGCTATACATCGCCGGGGTCTTACACATGTATTTGCGCCGATGGATTCTACGGATCAAACTGCGAAACAAGTTCAGGTCAGTGCAGTTTATATCCAACTTTTGAAAGAAAGCAAATTTACAAACTGGTGGTTGAATAGGAGTTGACAGTTAAAGTAAACAGACATACACAAAATAAAGATTCATGTCTCAATCTTGCCTCCTTGTTTTGTAAACAGAGAGGCCAGGCCAATGCCCACCACCTACCGGTGCAGGAATCTGCGTTGAGGCGTGTTCTAGTGATTCCTCGTGTCCTGATCGACAGAAATGTTGTTCTAATGGATGTGGCCATGCCTGCACCACTCCTGTGCCAGGTAAGCACCACCACAGCTAGGAGCAATACACCTATAACTGAACACATTCCTCGCAAAGAAAGTATCAGCTGATTTTCATCAACTTGTTGCACAAGAAAGAATGAAAACCTTCGAACGGTAGACAAAATAAAGAGCAAATGAAGTTATTCACAGAGAGTTAGTCACAAATTTTGATTTAGACTGAATGATGATAACTGAGATGTGATTTTGTACAGGACAAAAATAATTCCAACATTTTTGTGCTAAATCGTGAAAATAATGACCTTCTCTTGCAGTTTCTGTTGACGTGTGTCAATCTGCTCCGTGTCAAAACGGCGGCATCTGTACTTCATTCAACGGTAGCTATACCTGCCATTGTACTTCCGGGTTCACCGGGTTCAACTGTCAAACGGGAACCGGCACTGGTAAGTGCTGATAAAGTGTCATTGAAATATCCTTCTCATGAGAATTTCGTATTGATTTAATTGATTGCTGCATGATAAAGTTCTGTAGGCTGACCCTGTTGACTCCATCCTGGTAGATGTCTGGAGCTTATCTGTGAGGGAAACCCTCTTGGTCTTTACAAGTTCAACTACCAGGGATTTTCACTGTAAAGAATGATGGGGAAAACAACAAAAATATATGGCACAGCAGTGGCATAGCTACCCAGGAGTTGGGGGGTTGGGGTGGGGGGGGGGGGGGTAGGGGAAGGGGGTATATACCCCCTCCCCAATATTTTGTACCGACTGCCCATTTGTATACAAGTGCCCTTTTGTGACCTGCTTTTACCCCCCCCCCCCCAATAACGTTTATGAAGAGTGCCCTTTTTTTAAACAAATCCCCTTGTCTTATCAGCGGCCATTTACAAGTACCCTTTTTGAAATTTCACGCGACCATTGGCAGTTGTGCTGGCCTGAAAAGCGCCACCTATTGTCTGATAGTGTCCATGATCGTGTGGTTTAAAAAACGCCCTCATAGGAAGATGGTACCAGGGCCCCTCCCTCCCCCCACCCCTCGGTTTTGATTTTAGGGACGTCCAAGTGACCAGAGAAAAGGCACTGTCTACATTTGATTTCGGCCCGGATGTGCGAGTGCCCTTTTCAGGACCTTTTTACCCCCTAATAAAACTGACCTTAATTCGGGCGTTTCACAATGCAGTGCGCCACCAAGAGTTTGCCGTGGAAAGTCCATTATTCAAGTTTACGGTCGACAAAACATGGCCCATTTGAACGAGTGTCAGTAGACAACTTGAGCTAATTTGTTATAGATCGGGGCATTGCGTTCAGCCGCCTTACAAAAAAACTCCACAAAGAGAAAAGAAAAGGGCAAATGGATACTCGAATCATGCTTACGAAACTACTGACTGGAAAAAACTAACAATTTCAAATGTCCCGCGCTGCGAATTTGTCGACCATTTCCCACAATGCACCGGAAGAAATGAACTCTCTGTGGCAAACTCTTGGTGGCGCACTGCATTGTGAAAACGTCCGAATTGCTGCAGCACTGCATAGGAATGTTTGGTACAGAGATTTGCAACCATCCACATCAATCTTCTTTCAACTAAGTTCAAACCATTTTGGCGTCCACTCGAATGAATCACATTTTTGTTTTCTAATTTCTTGAAGATTACTGTTCATCTCACCCATGTCTGAATGGAGGGCTTTGTGTTTCTACGACCAACTCATACCAGTGTGATTGCACACCAGGATATGTCGGTGTTCGATGTGATATAGGTATAAACGCAAACAACTTTACCACATAGGCCTACACAATAATTGTCCCTCAAGTTCCCTTAAGTTTTATATTTTCAAACTTGCAACATCAAATTTGATTTGGATGGAGTTCTGTGGGAGTACCGTCAATTTTAGCACAATGTTTTATTTCATAATAACGTTTTCTCGTTGCTAAATGGGAACTGACCAAACATCATAAGAAAGTAGAAACTTATTTCTATCAACTTTTTGCAAATAAATCAATGCAAATAGTTTTTCTACTAGTAGGCAAAATAAATGAGCAAATGAAGATATTCATTGATTTAATGACGATTTCTGATTTTAAATGAATAATGATGACTGAAACGTAATTCATAAACACCTATTAAGACAGTTTACCCATACCTAATTGGTTGAGAGCGCATCTTGTGGCCAGTTTGATATGGTTGATAAAGACATGGCTAGCTGGTCTTAAACAGTTTTCCAGTGTCACATGAAATTGGGACTCCTATGACATCTGGAGTCGTTACCATTGTATTAGTTGAATCCTCAGGTAGGCATGTGCAGTACTACCAGCGAGTCGGTATTTTATCGTCCTAATTTTACACTTCACTGGCATAGCTGCATTCTGCGCTACATCATGCAGTACGCGCATCGCGCACGCCAATCTCCATATAAGGCATTGTTTACGACTGACTTGTGAGAGGGCAATACCATAGCATAGCTTGATGGGTGTTTTGAAAATAAGAAGTGAAATTGTTTAACAAAATGGTTGGAAATTTATAATTATTGACTAGGTTTGACTTATCACCCTCGCCTTCCACTCAGGTAATTATCAGCATCCAGACTCCAACCAGTCTAAAACATAGTGTTTAATACCGGCCAAGCACATATTCCCTTAATTTATTCACACTCTGGCAATAAATAATTGCCAAATCTTTTGAACTTTTTCAACCCGGAGTGTTATAATAATGTATCAGGTTGCATGAAAGAAGAATTTGAGTAAATGAATCTTTTTTTCTTTGATTCTATTAGGAATAAATGAATGTGCATCTAATCCATGCCTTAATGGCGGTGTATGCAGCAACGGTGTAGGCAGATATGTGTGCTCCTGTAGGTCAGTCTATACCGGTACACACTGTGAGGTGTACGGTCATACATCAACAACGCCCAGCCCAACCCCAGGTTAGTTACTCATGATTTCCTTGGAGTTCTTGTAGATGAAGGCATTGTTCAACTAGAAGACAAACACGAACAAGCTGGGAACCAGTGAAAGCAATATAAATCACATGACTAGTTCAGCTGGTAACCTCGCTTCTCTGAAACAATTTTTTTTGTAGCCAGCCGGCAATTTATGCACTTTACAACTGTGGGCTGAAATCTCCTTAACTGCTAGGTTTTTAAATCAAAGTATTAGAGTGGGCTGATATTCTATCCTTAGCAAGGACGTCTTCAGATGCCTACATATAGAAGGGATAGAAAAGGAAATCTAAGAAAAGGAAAATTAGTTCTTCCAAGTGGAAAGATAATTACTGAGGTTAAACTTTAACTTTCCACAGCAATATGAGTGGTTGTTGAATAGGAGCTGAAAGTTAAAAGTATTAACAGACATTCACCAAATAAAAAGAAATATCTCAATCTTGCCTCCTTGTTTGGTAAACAGAAAGGCCGGGCCAATGCCCAGCGCCTACCGGTGCAGGAATCTGCGTTGAGGCCTGTTCTAGTGATTCCTCGTGTCCTGAACCGCAGAAATGTTGTTCCAATGGATGTGGACATGGCTGCGTTAATCCCGTGTCAGGTAAGCATAACTAGGAAATAGTTTGGGAAGTGACAGGTCACATGTGAACCTGCTAGGAGCCCATATCAAGTGAGAGAGACCAGACTTTATAGGAGTCCAGATTTCGTAGACACCAGTCCAACGTAAAAAGTTGACTGAATCGGGATTTGCACCTGGGGCAAATGTTAGTAAACAGCTGTGCAGATGTAGCTTAGCAAATTTATACCCTGAGAAAAACCCCAAGACATACACAAAAAAACCCAACAAAACAAATAAAAAACATCCACAATCCATGATCACTAGTAGTTTGGCCTCTTTAACTTTTTTTGCCAGGAACACGTTCGTACTCAACAGTTGTTTCGCTTTCAACAGCTCCATTCAGTTGACTCCTTGATCTTGATTTCGGCACGGATGTGCGAGTGCCCTTTTCAGGACCTTTTTACCCCTAATTAAACTGACCTTTATTGCTGCAGCACTGCATAGGAATGTTTTTTTTACAGAGATTTGCAACCATCCACATCAATCTTCTTTCAACTAAGTTGAAACCATTTTGGCGTCCACTCGAATAAATCACATTTTTACCCCTCAGCCGAGAGGCTCGAGGGGTATTGTCATTGCCAACGGCGTCTGTCCGTCCGTTCCGTCGTTCTGACCAGGACCACTTGTGGGGTACCCGTCCTTTGTTCGAGGTACCCCGCAAGTGAAATCTTTAGAAATAGGGTACCCCGCAACTGAAATCTTTAGAAATAGGGACAATGGGACAACAATGGAGGTACCCCGGAAGTCCATCTGGGAGGTACGTCCGGGCCGTCTGTCCGGAGTGTCCGTCCGGGCAGCTTAGTTTCCGGATGATAACTTTAGTTAGAAATGTTGTTTGGGATTGTAACTTGTAAGGGGGTTTGTCCTTGGGAGAAGGCCAGTTGGGATTGGTTTTCAGGTAAAAAAGTCAAAGGTCAAGGTCACCGTGGTGAGTCCATGGTTTCTGCATGATAACTTCAGTTGGACATGGTATTTGGGTTTGGAATGTCAGTTTGCCCTTTTCGAAAAACTCTGGCTGAGGGGTTTCAACAGCAACGCTGTTATTTTTGTTTTCTAATTTCTTGAAGATTACTGTTCATCTCACCCATGTCTGAATGGAGGGCTTTGTGTTTCTACGACCAACTCATACCAGTGTGATTGCACACCAGGATATGTCGGTGTTCGATGTGATACAGGTATAAACGCAAACAACTTTACCACATAGGCCTACACAATAATTGTCCCCTCGAGTTTCCTTAAGTTTTATATTTTCAAACCTGCAACATCAAATTTGGTCTGGATGGAGTTCTGTGGGAGTACCGTCAATTTAGCACAACGTTTTATTATGCCCCGCGGCGAAGCCGAAGGGGCATACTGTTTCCGCCTTGTCCTTCCGTGGGTGGGTGGGTGGGTGGGTGGGTGGGTGTGTGTGTAAGTGTGTGTGTGGGTGGGTGAGTTTGTCTTACATACGCAGTGTGGACTTCCGAACAAAAGACGTCCACATAATGTAGGTAGCACCGACGTTGTGTGGACTTGCCCCACGTCCACACAGTGTTTCCCCATTTCTGGAAAACAGGTTTAGAGGCATTTTTGGGTTAGGTTTATCCGTAGCAGAATGAAGAGAAACACTAAAGGGAATCATAGAAAAAAAATTGGGTTGAAAGAGTTTTCACAGTTTGAGAAAAATGAGTTTTTTCACTGGTTTTTCTTAACTACACGAAAGCAATGGAAAGTCCACACTAGTCATGTGAAACAAGTATGGGTGGGTGTGTGGGTGTGTGTGTCCGGACAAATCTTGTCAGCGCGATAACTTTAGAAATACTTTACATATGAACTTCAAATTTGGTTTGTGGATTGTCCTTGGTAATCCTAAGAAGCCTTTTGCATTTGGGGCCAAAAGGTCAAGGGTCAAGGTCACAGTGGCTGAAACAATAGAAATTTTGTCAGCGCGATAACTTGAGAAATACTTTACATATGAACTTCAAATTTGGTTTGTGGATTGTCCTTGGCAATTCTAAGAAGCCTTTTGCATTTGGGGCCAAAAGGTCAAGGGTCAAGGTCACAGTGGCTGAAACAATAGAAATTTTGTCAGCGCGATAACTTGAGAAATACTTTACATATGAACTTCAAATTTGGTTTGTGGATTGTCCTTGGTAATCCTAAGAAGCCTTTTGCATTTGGGGCCGAAAGGTCAAGGGTCAAGGTCACAGTGGCTGAAACAATAGAAATTTTGTCAGCGCGATAACTTGAGAAATACTTTACATATGAACTTCAAATTCGGTTTGTGGATTGTCCTTGGCAATTCTAAGAAGCCTTTTGCATTTGGGGCCAAAAGGTCAAGGGTCAAGGTCACAGTGGCTGAAACAATAGAAATTTTGTCAGCGCGATAACTTGAGAAATACTTTACATATGAATTTCAAATTTGGTTTGTGGATTGTCCTTGGCAATCCTAAGAAGCCTATCGCATTGGGGGTCAAAAGGTCAAGGGTCAAGGTCACAGTGGCTAAAACAATAGAAATCTTGTATTTATTCTGAGATCATAGGGATTAGGGATTAATTCATATAAAACCTACAGAAGACACTAATGCTGTCAATGAACGTTCCATTTGACCAAGGTACATGTAAGTTGATGTTAGAGTGGTGCTATGTCATGGAAACAGTCACGGTTGCGGGGCATTTGTGTTTGTAAACACACCTGACTTGTTTCATAATAATGTTTTCTCGTTGCTTAATGGGAACTGACCAAACATCATAAGAAAGTAGAAACTTATTCGTGTCAACTTGTTGCAAATAAAAGAATGCAAATAGTTTTTCTACTGGTAGGCAAAACAAATGAACAAATGAAGTTATTCATTGATTTAATGACGATTTCTGATTTTAAATGAATAATGATGACTGAAACGTAATTCATAAACACCTATTAAGACAGTTTACCCATACCTAATTGGTCGAGAGCCCATCTTGTGACCAGTTTGATATGGTTGATAAAGACATGGCTAGCTGGTCTTCAACAGTTTTCCAGTGTCACATGAAATTGGGACTCCTATGACATCTGGAGTCGTTACCATTGTATTAGTTGAATCCTCAGGTAGGCATGTGCAGTTCTACCAGCGAGTCGGTATTTTATCGTCCTAATCTTACACTTCACTGGCATAGCTGCATTCTGCGCTACATCATGCAGTACGCGCAATCGCGCATGCCAATCTCCATATAAGGCATTGTTTACGACTGACTTGTGAGAGGGCCATACCATAGCATAGCTTGAGGGGTGTTTTGAAAATAAGAAGTGAAATTGTTGAACAAAATGGTTGGAAATTTATAATAATTGACTAGGTTTGACTTTTGGACCGAAAAAATTTTGATTATTTTTTTTCTGAAAATGTATTCATGAATGGGAATAAAAATAGGCTTGGCTGGTGCTAAAAAAACACTATGTATAAGACTGGTTGGAGTCTGGATGCTGATAATCACCCTCGCCTTCTGCTCAGGTAATTATCAGCATCCAGACTCCAACCGGTCTAAATCATAGTGTTTAATACCAGCCAAGCAAGGGGAAACAACCAAAAATTCAAGGGGAAACAACCAAAATTCATTCAAGTCAGTCACAAAGCTAGGGCCTTCAAAGATTCATTCTTCATGTCAACTGTTAAACACTGGAACTCACTCTCCTCGGCTGCTGTGAACAGCGCAACACTAGCTGAATTCAAGGGACATATCAGTAATATCCACCAGTAGTCTATTTCCACACGCAGTGCGCAAGTTAGCGTTGATGTATCCGGCAGCATATTTTGCTGACTTAAACAATGGAGATGGAGATGGAGAAGCACATATTCCCTTAATTTATTCACACTCTGGCAATAAATAATTGCCAAATCTTTTGAACTTTTTCAACCCGGAGTCTTATAATAATGTATCAGGTTGCATGAAAGAAGAATTTGAGTAAATGAATCCTATTTTCTTTGATTCTGCTAGATTTAAATGAATGTGCGTCTGTCCCATGCCTTAATGGCGGTACATGCTTCGACGGTGTAGGCAGATATGATTGCTCCTGTAGGCCAGGCTATACCGGTACACACTGTGAGGTGTACAGTCATACATCAACAACGCCCAGCCCAACCCCAGGTTGGTTACTCATGATTTCCTTGGACTTCTTGTAGATGAAGGCATTGTTCAACTAGAAGACGAACACGAACAAGCTGGGAACCAGTGAAAGCAATATAAATCACATGACTAGTTCAGCTGGTAACCTCGCTTCTCTCTGAAACAATTTTTCTTGTAGCCGGCAATTTATGCACTTTACAACTGTGGGCTGAAATCTCTTTAACTGCTTGGTTTTTGAATCAAAGAATTAGAGTGGGCTGATATATTCCATCCTTAGTAAGGACGTCTTCAGAGGCCTACATATAGAAGGGATGGAAAGGGAAATCTTAAGAAAAGGAAAATTAGTTCTTCCAAGTGGAAAGATAATTACTGAGGTTACACTTTAAATTTCCACAGCAATATGAGTGGTGGTTGAATTGGAGCTGAAAGTTAAAGTTATTAACAGACATTCACCAAATAAAAATAAATATCTCAATCTTGCCTCCTTGTGTAAACAGAAAGGCCAGGCCAATGCCCACCGCCTACCGGTGCAGGAATCTGCGTTGAGGCCTGTTCTAGTGATTCCTCGTGTCCTGATCGACAGAAATGTTGTTCTAATGGATGTGGACATGCCTGCATTAATCCCGCGCCAGGTAAGCATAACTAGGAAATAGTTTGGGAAGTGACAGGTCACGTGAACCTGCTAGGAGCCCATATCAAGTGAGAGAGACCAGACTTTATAGGAGCCCAGAGTTCATATGACACCAGTCGAACGTAAAAAGTTGACTGAATCGGGATTCGCACCTGGGCCAAAAGTTAGTAAACAGCTGTGCAGATGTAGCTTAGCAAATTTATACACTGAGAAAAAACCCCAAGACATACACAAAAAACCCAACAAAACAAATAAAAAACATCCACAATCCATTTACATTACTAGTAGTTTGGCCTCTTTAACTTTCTTTGCCAGGAACACGTTTGTACTCAACAGTTGTTTTGTTTCAACAGCTCCATTCAGTTGACTCCTTGATCTTGATTTCGGCACGGATGTGCGAGTGCCCTTTTCAGGACCTTTTTACCCCTAATTAAACTGACCTTAATTGCTGCAGCACTGCATAGGAATGTTTTTTTTACAGAGATTTGCAACCATCCACATCAATCTTCTTTCAACTAAGTTGAAACCATTTTGGCGTCCACTCGAATAAATCACATTTTTACCCCTCAGCCGAGAGGCTCGAGGGGTATTGTCATTGCCAACGGCGTCTGTCCGTCCGTTCCGTCGGGCCGTTCTGACCAGACCACCCTTGTGGGGTGATGTTCCTTTCAGGACACATCACCCCACTTTTTACACAATGGAAAAACATCACCCCAGAAGGGAATCTTTAGAAAAAGGGATAATGGGAACACAATGCTATCACCCCACAAGTCCGTCTGGCTAGAACGGCCGTCTGTCCGGAGTGTCCGTCCGGGCAGCTTAGTTTCCGGATGATAACTTTAGTTAGAAATGTTGTTTGGGATTGTAACTTGTAAGGGGGTTTGTTCTTGGGAGAAGGCAAGTTGGGATTGGTTTTCAGGTCAAAAAGTCAAAGGTCAAGGTCACCATGGTGAGTCAATGGTTTCTGCATGATAACTTCAGTTAGACGTGGTATTTAAGTTTGGAATGTCAGTTTGCCCTTTTCGACAAACTCTGGCATTAGGGTTTCAACAACAACGCTGTTATTTTTGTTCTCTAATTTCTTGAAGATTACTGTTCATCTCACCCATGTCTGAATGGAGGGCTCTGTGTTTCTACGACCAACTCATACCAGTGTCATTGCACACCAGGATATGTCGGTGTTCGATGTGATACAGGTATAGAAGCAAACAACTTTACCACATAGGCCTACACAATAATTGTCCCCTTAAGTTTCCTTAAGTTTTATATTTTCAAACTTGCAACATCAAATTTGATTTGGATGGAGTTCTGTGGGAGTACCGTCAATTTTAGCACAACGTTTTATTTCTTAATAATGTTTTCTCGTTGCTAAATGGGAACTGACCAAACATCATAAGAAAGCAGAAACTTATTCGTATCAACTTGTTGCAAATAAAAGAAAGCAAATATTTTTTTCTACTAGTAGGCAAAACAAATGAGCAAATGAAGTTATTCATTGATTTAATGACGATTTCTTATTTTAAATGAATAAAAAGGGTGAAACATGAATATTATATTGAATGAATCCCACACTTTGCCGATAAGTAATTACCCCTTCTTTTCTACCTTTTGAACCCAGAGAGTTTCAATAATGTATCGAGTTGCGTAAAAGAAGAATTTGAGTAAAATGCATCCTATTTCTTTGCTTCTGCTAGATATCATAGATTTTGAGAGCGGGTCACAAATAATAACACTACCTTTTAGAAACACGTTACTGACATGTACATGTCTGTGTGTTTTTTTCAATGAGTATTCCTTTGTGTGTATTTCACAGAAATCAATGAATGTGCCAGCTCGCCTTGTAGGAATGGAGGAACCTGTGTGGATTCAGTCAACAGTTTCTGGTGTGTGTGTCTAAGTGGATACGTGGGGACCTTCTGCGAGATTGGTGAATGAATTCTTGAATCCTGATTAGTGCGTAGTAACCAGAGAGTTTCAATAATGTATCGAGTTGCGTAAAAGAAGAATTTGAGTAAATGCATCCTATTTTCTTTGCTTCTGCTAGGTATCATAGATGAATGTGCATCTAGTCCATGCGTGAATGGCGGTACATGCATCGACGGTGTAGGCAGATATGTGTGCTTCTGTAGGCCAGGCTACACCGGTACACACTGTGAGATGTACGGTCATACATCAACAACGCCCAGCCCAACCCCAGGTTGGTTACTCATGATTTCCTTGGACTTCTTGTCGATGAAGGCATTGTTCAACTAGAAGACGAACACAAACAAGCTGGGAACCAGTGAAAGCAATATAAATCACATGACTAGTTCAGCTGGTAACCTCGCTTCTCTGAAACAATTTTTTTTTGTAGCCGGCAATTTATGCACTTTACAACTGTGGGCTGAAATCTCCCTAACTGCTTGGTTTTTAAATCAAAGAATTAGAGTGGGCTGATATTCCATCCTTAGTAAGGACGTCTTCAGAGGCCTACATATAGAAGGGATAGAAAAGGAAATCTTAAGAAAAAGAAAATTAGTTCTTCAAGTGGAAAGATAATTACTGAGGTTACACTTTAACTTTCCACAGCAATATGAGTGGTGGTTGAATTGGAGCCGAAAGTTAAAAGTATTAACAGACATTCACCAAATAAAAATAAATATCTCAATCTTGCCTCCTTGTTTGGTAAACAGAAAGGCCAGGCCAATGCCCACCGCCTACCGGTGCAGGAATCTGCATTGAGGCCTGTTCTAGTGATTCCTCGTGTCCCGATCAACAGAAATGTTGTTCTAATGGATGTGGACATGCCTGCACCAATCCTGTGTCAGGTAAACATAACTAGGAAATGGTTTGGAAGGTGTCTGTTCACATGTGAGAGTTAGAGTCCATATCATGTGAAAAGATACCAAACTTCATAGGAGTCTAAATTTCATAGACACCAATCGAACGTAAGAAATTGACCTAATTGGGATTCGCACCTGGGCCAAATGTTAGGGAGATGCTGGGCAGATATAATCCTAGCAAGTTTATAAGCTGAGAAAAAAACCCATGAAGACACAAACAAAAAACCTCAAAACCAATATAAAACACACCCACCCCAAAAATGGAAAATCGGTCAAATTCCATTTACAGCACGTTGTAGTTTAGAGTTTAAACTTTTTTTTGCTAGAAATATGTTTTCTTACTCAACAAATGTTAGCATTGGACTGCTCCATTCCTTGATCTTGTGTTACTAGTGTTATTATTCCACCTTTTTGAAAAAGACAAATAAGTCTTTCTTCTGAACTATAAGATTACCAGGATGTTACACAACTATTTGACCCATTGTGATTTCATTAACGACGCTATTTTTTACTGAAATTGATCACTTCAATACACTTTTCTTGTTCTTCAGATGTCTGCAATCCGAACCCTTGTCTTAATGGCGGTAACTGTTATCAAAGCTATACATCGCCGGGGTCTTACACGTGTTTTTGCGCCGCTGGATTCTACGGATCAAACTGCGAGACAAGTTCAGGTCAGTGCAGTTTACATCCAACTTTTGAAAGAAAGCAAATTTACAAACTGGTGGTTGAATAGGAGTTGACAGTTAAAGTAAACAGACATACACAAAATAAAGATTCACGTCTCAATCTTGCCTCCTTGTTTTGTAAACAGAAAGGCCGGGCCAATGCCCACCACCTACCGGTGCAGGAATCTGCGTTGAGGCGTGTTCTAGTGATTCCTCGTGTCCTGATCGACAGAAATGTTGTTTGAATGGATGTGGCCATGTCTGCACCACTCCTGTGCCAGGTAAGCACCATCGGTACCGCAGCTAGGAGCAATACACCTTTAACTGAGCACAATCCTCGCAAAGAAAGTAGAACCTGATTTTCATCAACTTGTTGCACAAGAAAGAATGAAAACAGTCTAACAGTAGACAAAATCAAGAGCAAATAACGTTATTCACATAGAGTTAGTCACAAATTTTGATTTAGACTGAATGATGATAACTGAGACGTGATTTTGTACCGGACAAAAATAATTCCAATATTTTTGTGCTAAATCGTGAAAATAATGACCTTTTTTTACAGTTTCTGTTGACGTGTGTCAATCTGCTCCGTGTCAAAATGGCGGCATCTGTACTTCATTCAACGGTAGCTATACCTGCCATTGTACTTCCGGGTTCACCGGGTTCAACTGTCAAACGGGAACCGGCACTGGTAAGTGCTGAGAATGATGTCAATTAAAAATCGTGAGAATCTGTATCAACTGAATCGATTGCTGTTTAAATGACCCGATTGACCACTCGTTCCTGGTAGATTTTTTCAACTAGAAAAAGAAAACCAACAAACTGAGAACCAGTAAAAGGCAATAAAAGTCCCATGACTAGTTTGGCTGGTAACCTGCTTTTCTAAGCATTGTTTTGCACCCAGCAAATTTCTGTACTTAACAGCTACATGAATTTGGCAGTTAAAATCTCCTGAACTGACTGATATGTGAAACAAGTTTTTATTCTGTTCATGTAATTTTACTTTTTTTTTACAAAGCCATGTTGAAGGGCAGCTCATATCAAGATGAGGGCTATACACAAAAGATAGAAAAGGAAATAAGAAAAGAAAATGAGTCCTTCCAAGCAGAATGATGTAATGTTACTCTTTTAACTTTTCAAAGCAATATGAATGGTGGTTGCACATCAGCTGAACATTAAAGTAAACACACATTCTCAATCTTGCCTCCTTGTTTTGTAAACAGAAAGGCCAGGCCAATGCCCACCGCCTACCGGTGCAGGAATCTGCATTGAGGCCTGTTCTAGTGATTCCTCGTGCCCCGATCGACAGAAATGTTGTTCTAATGGATGTGGACATGCCTGCCTAAATCCTGTGTCAGGTAACCATAACTAGGAAATTGTTTGGAAGATGTCTGTTCACATGTGAGAGTTAGAGTCCATATCATGTGAAAAGACAGCAGACTGCATAGGAGTCTAAATTTCATAGACACCAATCGAACGTAACAAGTTGACCTAATTGGGATTCGCACCTTTTCCAAATGCTAGAGAGATCCTGATCATCAAAAATATAGACCTTCTTCATTGAGTTTCAGTTGAAAACTAAGCTTGTAGATTAATTTCATTTTCACCCTGAGGTAACATTTTCTGTGGAATTGCCCAAAACGAACTGGTGGTTGAATAGGAGTTGAAAGTTAAAGTAAACAGACATTCACCAAATAAAAATAACTGTCCCAAACTTTTCTCCTCGTTTTGTGAACAGAAAGGCCGGGCCAGTGCCCAGCGCCTACCAGTGCAGGAATCTGCGTTGAGGCCTGTTCTAGTGATTCCTCGTGTCCTGATCGACAGAAATGTTGTTCTAATGGATGTGGACATGCCTGCGTTAATCCCGTGTCAGGTAAGCATAACTAGGAAATAGTTTGGGAAGTGACAGGTCACATGTGAACCTGCTAGGAGCCCATATCAAGTGAGAGAGACCAGACTTCATATGGCACCAGTCGAACGTAAACAGTTGACTTAATCGGGATTCGTACCTGGGCCAAACATTAGGAAACTGCTGAGCTGACGATATAGCTTAGCAAATTGATACACCGAGAAAAAAATAAAACACAAACAAAACACCCCTGCCCCCAAAAAAGAAAATTTGATCAAATCCGTTTACATCACATTGCAGCTTGGCCTCTTAAACTTTTTTGTCGGGGACATGTTTGTACTCAACAATTTGTTTGCTTTCAACAGTTCCATTCAGTTGACTCCTGGATCTTGTGTTAACTGTTGTATGCCTTTCACCTTTTGTGTGTGTACAAAAACAAGGCTTTCTTAAGAAACTATTAGAGCACTAGCAAGCGAAAAAACTATTTGACCCATTGTGATTTCATTAACGACGCCATTTTTTACTGAAAGTGATCACTTCAATACACTTTTCTTGTTCTTCAGATGTCTGCAACCCGAACCCTTGTCTTAATGGTGGTATCTGTCTGCATAGCAATACAACTCTGGGGCCTTACACGTGTTTTTGCGCCGCTGGATTCTACGGATCAAACTGCGAGACAAGTTCAGGTCAGTGCAGTTAATATCCAACGTTTAATTGAAAGCAAATTTACAAACTGGTGGTTGAATAGGAGTTGACAGTTAAAGTAAACAGACGTACACAAAATAAAGATTCATGTCTCAATAATGCCTCCTTGTTTTGTAAACAGAAAGGCCGGGCCAATGCCCAGCGCCTACCGGTGCAGGAATCTGCGTTGAGGCGTGTTCTAGTGATTCCTTGTGTCCTGAACCGCAGAAATGTTGTTCTAATGGATGTGGACATGCCTGCGTTAATCCCGTGTCAGGTAAGCATACCTAGGAAATAGTTTGGAAAGAGACAGGTCACATGTAAAAGGGACTCTAAGTCCATATCAAGTAAAAAGACACCAGACTTCATAGGAGTCGAAATTTCACAGACACCGATTGAACGTAACAAGTTGACCTAATTGGGATTCGCCCCTGGGCCACATGTTAGAGAGATGCTGATCATCAAAAATATAGACCTTCTTCATTGAGTTTCAGTTGAAAACTAAGCTTGTAGATTAATTTCATTTTTTCACCCTGAGGTAATATTTTCTGTGGAATTGCCCAAACGAACTGGTGGTTGAAAAGGAGTTGAAAGTTAAAGTAAACAGACATTCACCAAATACAAATAAATGTCTCAAACTTGTCTCCTCGTTTTGTAAACAGAAAGGCCGGGCCAATGCCCAGCGCCTACCGGTGCAGGAATCTGCGTTGAGGCGTGTTCTAGTGATTCCTCGTGTCCTGATCGACAGAAATGTTGTTCTAATGGATGTGGCCATGTCTGTGCCAATCCCGTGTCAGGTAAGCATACCTAGGCATTGGTTTGGAAAGTGTCCGTCCACATGTGAGGGTTAAAGTCCATGTGAAGTAAAAAGACACCATACATCTTAGGAGTTTAAATTTGATAAACACCGATCGAACGGAACAAGCTGACCTAATTGGGATTCGCACCTGGGCCAAATACTAGAGAGATGCTGATCATCAAAAATATAGACCTTTCTCATTGAGTTTCAGTTGAAAACTAAGCCTGTATATCAATTTCTTTTTTTCACCCTGAGGTAACATTTTCTGTGGAATTGCCCAAAACGAACTGGTGGTTGAAAAGGAGTTGAAAGTTAAAGTAAACAAACATTCACCAAATAAAAATAAATGTCCCAAACTTGTCTCCTCGTTTTGTAAACAGAAAGGCCGGGCCAATGCCCAGCGCCTACCGGTGCAGGAATCTGTGTTGAGGCGTGTTCTAGTGATTCATTGTGTCCTGATCGACAGAAATGTTGTTCTAATGGATGTGGTCATGTCTGCGTTATTCCCGTGTCAGGTAAGCATAACTAGGAAATAGTTTGGGAAGTGACAGGTCACATGTGAACCTGCTAGGAGCCCATATCAAGTGAGAGAGACCAGACTTCATATGACACCAGTCGAACGTAAACAGTTGACTTAATCGGGATTCGTACCTGGGCCAAACATTAGGAAACTGCTGAGCTGACGATATAGCTTAGCAACTTGATACACCGAGAAAAAAACAAAACACAAACAAAACACCCCTGCCCCCAAAAAAGGAAATTTGATCAAATCCGTTTACATCACATTGCAGCTTGGCCTCTTAAACTTTTTTTCTGGGACATGTTTGTACATGTATGCCTTTCACCTTTTTTGTGTGTAAAAAAACAAGGCTTTCTTAAGAAACTATAAGAGCACTAGCAAGCGAAAAAACTGTTTGACCCATTGTGATTTCATTAATGACGCTATTTTTTACTGAAATTGATCACTTCAATACACTTTTCTTGTTCTTCAGATGTCTGCAACCCGAACCCTTGTCTTAATGGTGGTATCTGTCAGCATAGCAATACAACTCTGGGGCCTTACACGTGTGTTTGCGCCGATGGATTCTACGGAGCAAACTGCGAGACAAGTTCAGGTCAGTGCAGTTTACATCCAACTTTTGAAAGAAAGCAAAACGAACTGGTGGTTGAATAGGAGTTGGAAGTTAAAGTAAACAGACATACACAAAACAAAGATTCGCGTCTCAATCTTGCCTCCTTGTTTTGTAAACAGAGAGGCCAGGCGAATGCCCACAGATAACTGGTGCAGGAATCTGCATTGAGGCGTGTTCTAGTGATTCCTCGTGTCCTGATCGACAGAAATGTTGTTCTAATGGATGTGGCCATGTCTGCGCCAATCCCGTGTCAGGTAAGCATACCAAGAAAATGGTTTGGAAAGTGACAGGTCACATGTAAAGGGACTCTAAGTCCGTATCAAGTAAAAAGACACCAGACTTCATAGGAGTCGAATTTCACAGACACCGATTGAACGTAAGAAGTTGACCAAATTGGGAATCGCACCTGGGCCACATGTTAGAGAGATGCTGATCATCAAAAATATAGACCTTCTTCATTGAGTTTCAGTTGAAAACTAAGCTTGTAGATTAATTTCATTTTTTTACCGTGAGGTAACATTTTCTGTGGAATTGCCCAAAACGAACTCGTGGTTGAATAGGAGTTGAAAGTTACAGGAAACAGACACTCACCAAATAAAAATAAATGTCTCAATCTTGCCTCCTTGTTTTGTAAACAGAAAGGCCGGGCCAATGCCCAGCGCCTACCGGTGCAGGAATCTGCGTTGAGGCGTGTTCTAGTGATTCCTCGTGTCCTGATCGACAGAAATGTTGTTCTAATGGATGTGGACATGGCTGCGTTAATCCCGCGCCAGGTAAGCATAACTAGGAAATAGTTTGGAAGGTGTCTGTCCATATGTGAGGGTTAGAGTCCATGTCAAGTAAAAAGACACCATATATCATAGTAGTTTAAATTTGATAGACACCAATCGAATGTAACAAATTGACCTGATTGGGATTCGCACCTGGTCCAAATGTTAGGGAGAAGCTGGGCAGATATAAGCTTAGCAAGTTTATAAGCTGAGAAGAAAACCATGAATACACCAAAAAAAACCTCAAAACCAATACAAAACACCCCCAAAGGAAAAGCATTCAAGATCCATTTACATCACATTGTACTTTGGCCTTTTCACCTTTTTTCCCCCCAGAAACACGTTTTCTTACTCAACAAATGTTTACGTTGGACACCTCCATTCAGTTTGCTCCTGGATCTTGTGTTACTATTGTAATTATTACAAGTTTTTGAAAAAAGAAAAATAATTTTTTCTTCTGAACTATAAGATTATCAGGATATTATGAAACTATTTGACCCATTGTGATTTCATTAACGACGCTGTTTTTTACTGAAATTGATCACTTCAATACACTTTTCTTGTTCTTCAGATATCTGCAACCCGAACCCTTGTCTTAATGGCGGTAACTGTCAGCGTGTCGAAACATTGCCGGAGTCCTACACGTGTATTTGCCCCGATGGATTCTACGGATCAAACTGCGAAACAAGTTCAGGTCAGTGCAGTTTACATCCAACTTTTGAAAGAAAGCAAATTTACGAACTGGTGGTTGAATAGGAGTTGGAAGTTAAAGTAAACAGATATTCACCAAATAAAAATACATCAAGTAAAACTTGCACGATCCCACTGGCAGGCTGTTTTGACAATTGTTTTAGTGACATCTGTCATGTAGGACCGTCATCCAAGTCATATGTACATGTACATGTGTATGGTACCGAAAATATTGGGCTGTGACGAAGTGTGTATAGGCACATGTACATATTTTTTTGTCAACTGAAACAACCAACAGGTGGTCCAGATATTTCAAGCAAATCACAGACAAACGACTTGAAGAACAAGCGAACAACTCCCTAACTAAAACGTGTGCTTACAGCAAAAGAAGGAAATTGAATCAAACCATCAAACATAGTTAAAATATGTGACCTGCCATAGCATAATGAGGAATAACCCCCACCCTTGAATTTTCACGTTATGTACATCATGTTAAAGCGCAAATCTTTGGCTTGCCAGCGATACCACATTGATTTCTTTAGCTTAATTTACGCCGCAGGAACGTCAACAGTGTCCTGCCAAGTTTCGCTAACCTCATTTCGAGAAAAACGGCTTTGAAAAAAAGACACACATTGTGCCACCAACGGCAGTGAAAAAATGTTCTTCAGTTTTTCCACTTTGGTGGATATTTCCCCCCCCCCTCCCAATAAAAAAGACCCCATAGTTTGAATCTTGGATACCTTGGCTACTCAGAAGTAAGAAAATATCAATATCGATTTTGACATGATTTTTCTAGTATATCCGACTTCAGGCGTCGATTACTCAAAACAAGGTTTTGGGGGACATTCCTCATTTTGCCTCAGTAGGTCACATATATGCACTAGCTATAAGTCAAAACTAAACCTAACATACAGAATTATTGTACAAGGAAAACAAAATGTCTCCTTGAAACCCACAATATCACCGCCAGTCTGTGGAGAGAAGGCCGACGTCATAAAAATCCTTTCCATCACAGATACTTACGAGGTCTCTGGAGAGCTCAGCTCCAGTAGTGTTACTATTGAATCTAACGTATATGTCAGTCAGTTTGTGTACCTGTACAGGCATCAGTGAACCAAACCAAAATGGAACACACAGTCATGTTTTACTATACTCTCGAGGACAGTGCTTTGTGTTTCCCTTTGTCCCTGTAATATAACACTCTCCCATAGTCTAAGCACACAGACTTACTACAGAGGACCGTTTCCAACAAAAGACCCAACTCCCAAGGACTGAAAGGATCTGTTGTGCTCCCTTTGTGTGTCGGTCCTCTGGGGTTATGTAGAACAAGTACACACAGTCATACATACATCCATACTGGAATTTGTATCCTTGTGGAGTCATTTCTTTGTTCTCGTGTACAAAAGTTTTCGAGTTTGAAAGTGTACTTTGAAAAAGCTCCTATTTTAACCCGAATTAATTTCCTGGGCTGCAATTCCGACTTAATATCCCTTTGATAAAAAACTTCAATTTGCGACAGATCAACACACCTTGGAAATTCCTAATTTTTGAGTAAAATGTATATTTTTCATGATAACCTTGTGGAGACATATTCAATCTTTTGTTCCCTATTATACCCATGTCTCCACAGGGTACCGTGTACCAGATCATAGATAAGCACACCCACACACAGACACACAGAAGGAATACGCGATCGCAATATCCCCCTGTCTGACTTAAAAGCCAGAGGGATAAAAATGAATATCTCAATCTTGCCTCCTTGTTTTGTAAACAGAAAGGCCAGGTGAATGTCCGCAGATAATGGGTGCAGGAATCTGCATTGAGGCGTGTTCTAGTGATTCCTTGTGTCCTGATCGACAGAAATGTTGTTCTAATGGATGTGGACATGTCTGTGCCAATCCCGTGTCAGGTAAGCATACCTAGGAAATGGTTTGGAAAGTGTCCGTCCATATGTGAGGGTTAGAAAGTCCATGTCAAGTAAAAAAGACACCATACATCATAGGAGTCTAGATTTCATAGACACCGATCGAATGTAACAAGTTGACCTAATTGGGATTCGCCCCTGTGCCAAATGTTAGAGAGATGCTGATTATCAAAAATATAGACCTTCTTCATTGAGTTTCAGTTGAAAACTAAGCCTGTATATAAATTTCTTCTTTTCACCCTGAGGTAACATTTTCTGTGGAATTGCCCAAAACGAACTGGTGGTTGAAAAGGAGTTGAAAGTTAAAGTAAACAGACATTCACCAGATAAAAATAAATGTCCCAAACTTTTCTCCTCGTTTTGTGAACAGAAAGGCCGGGCCAGTGCCCAGCGCCTACCGGTGCAGGAATCTGCGTTGAGGCCTGTTCTAGTGATTCCTCGTGTCCTGATCGACAGAAATGTTGTTCTAATGGATGTGGACATGCCTGCGTTAATCCCGTGTCAGGTGAGCATAACTAGGAAATGGTTTGGAAAGTGTCCGTCCACATGTGAGGGTTAGAGTCCATGTCAAGTAAAAAGACACCATACATCATAGGAGTCTAGATTTCATAGACACCGATCGAGCGTAACAAGTTGACCTAATTGGGATTTGCCCCTGGGCCACATGTTACAGAGATGCTGATCATCAAACATATAGACATTCTTCATTGAGTTTCAGTTGAAAACTATGCTTGTAGATAAATTTCATTTTTTCACCCTGAGGTAACATTTTCTGTGGAATTGCCCAAAACGAACTGGTGGTTGAAAAGGAGTTGAAAGTTAAAGTAAACAGACATTAACGAAATACAAATAAATATCTCAATCTTGCCTCCTTGTTTTGTAAACAGAAAGGCCGGGCCAATGCCCAGCGCCTACCGGTGCAGGAATCTGCGTTGAGGCGTGTTCTAGTGATTCCTCGTGTCCTGATCGACAGAAATGTTGTTCTAATGGATGTGGACATGCCTGCGTTAATCCCGTGTCAGGTAAGCATAACTAGGAAATGGTTTGGAAAGTGTCCGTCCACATGTGAGGGTTAGAGTCCATGTCAAGTAAAACAGACACCATACATCATAGGAGTCTAGATTTCATAGACACCGATTGAACGTAACAAGTTGACCTAATTGGGATTCGCACCTGGGCCAAATGTTAGAGAGATGCCGATCATCAAAACTATAGACCTTCTTCATTGAGTTTCAGTTGAAAACTAAGCTTGTAGATTAATTTCATTTTTTCACCCTGAGGTAACATTTTCTGTGGAATTGCCCAAAACGAACTGGTGGTTGAATAGGAGTTGAAAGTTAAAGGAAACAGACATTCACCAAATAAAAATAAATGTCTCAATCTTGCCTCCTTGTTTTGTGAACAGAAAGGCCTGGCCAGTGCCCTGCGCCTACCGGTGCAGGAATCTGCGTTGAGGCGTGTTCTAGTGATTCCTTGTGTCCTGATCGACAGAAATGTTGTTCCAATGGATGTGGACATGTCTGTGCCAATCCCGCGCCAGGTAAGCACTACACAGACGTGACATTGTAAAGAAACACTGACATTGCAAAGAAACACTCAGCAGAATGCATTTATTTCATCAACTGGAAAACAATGGCTTTAAATGCTTTTCCTCAAACAGCTGTTCCACACAGTCTTACAGAATTCAGTCTGTGCAGACATTGTCTATTTCCTAAACTGAGATTCATGTGTTTTTGTACCTCCAAAATGGCTTCATTGAACAGATTGCACTCATTTGCTTAAAATATGGCTGTTTGATTTTCCTCTCACAGTTGATCACAGTCCTCCAGAATTTAGCCGATGTCCTGCAAACATTGTTCGCAGTATCCCTGCTGGTAACACCGGGGTCAGGGTGACCTGGTCTGAACTACACGTGGAAGACGACAGTGGGGAAACGATTCAACCCATCCAGGTAGAGGGCCCCCTCTCTGGTTCAGTTTTCCAGCCTGGGACCCACAGGATCACCTACGAAGCCCAGGACTCGGCAAGGAATACTGCCGTCTGCACGTTCCAAGTTGAAGTCACAACTTATGGTAAGACCGGATTAAACTCAGTACCAGAGGCTGCAAATATGACTCAGCAAGTTCAAACATTTCTATGTCCTTCCTGGATGGGAAACCAGTCCACCCCAAGTTGCTCCCCAGCTATGGCCGACACCTATTGAGTTGTGGGACTAAGGAACCTTCAGACTCACAGACCTTTGGACTATCTAGCAGTAACCGTTTGATTGCCCTTCGCTGGCTTTATTTCATAAGTGCTATATTTTCATTGCTGCCAAAGTGCTTGTGAGATCAAAATTCACAAGCTTTTTCTGGTTGGACTGGAACCCACGAATTAGAAATCCAAGGTTGAATTAAATTGAATTGACATCCCTATGATGCAAAATAGAGTTCAAACTACCAAGAATATACAACTCAATTCTCACACCTTTCTCCAAAGCCCAAATGATCAAGTTATTATTTTAAATCAATTGCAACGCCGGGCGTTACCAGCGAGAAATATGTGGGAACATATCAGACAACGGAACGTCTTCAAAGTCAAACTGCCAAAAATACAAATCAATTCCCACGTCTTTTTCCAGAGCACATTGCTCAATCAAATTAGTTTCATCAACTACAGCGCCGGGCATTCCTGTTGAGAGAATGTACAAAAAAATACGGTGAACAACGAAACTTCTCCAAGCCAAAAAAAGGGCAGCTTCTTTTGCCGTTTTGCATTATATTGGAGACCACGAACTCCAGCAAACGCAAATCACAAAGCATCACCGCTGGGCATTTCGCGATGTTTTATTCTCACTCACAAACACAATTTGCCGCCGACTTTTATTTTCATGCAGCAAAGTAAAAGCACAAACGGGAGATGTATTTTGACGATGATGTAACGCATTTTGATACTGTCAATATCGTTCCTCAATGTCAAAATTGTTCATATTTACATATGATTAGAAAAATATCATTGGCAGTTTTGATATCAAAACAATATTGAATAATCGAGTGATAGGCCAAAATAAATAGTCTCCTGTTTCTGGTATGGAGCTTGCCTAAAAAGTTGTGCGGCGATGCGGCTTTTTTTTTTTTTACCTGTTTTTTTTTAGCAAATGTGGGCTGATGACTGCAAATGGTGCCCAACTAAACTTAGTGCAAATATATGGGAGTCAAGAGAGGCCACATAAAACTTTTTCTCGATCATAACCCCATCTAAAAACATGTTAAAATTGTGCAGCAGCAGGATTCCAGTCAAACCAGTGAGTTTGGCGGTTTTGAGACATCATCTTTCATTGAAAAAAAAAACTTTTTCATTTTGCCGACGCGCATGGCTACGGCGACGCGCGTGCATACCAGAAATCGGAGACTTTGTTTTGGCCATATCAATATATCGACAGTGCTTAATAATACCTCTTGACAAATCTGTTTTGTTCTTGCAGAGGTGAGGGATGTGCCTCCATCTATCGTCTGCCCGCCAGACATCACCAACAAGCTGTCTGCAGGCAAGTTGTCCGCCGTGATTACCTGGGACATGCCTACCGTGCTTCTCTCCTCCGGCCCTGCCCGCATGACCTACCAATCCATGGAGTCTGGCTCCCGTCTGGGCCCGGGGAAATACACCGTCTACTACCGCTACACCGATGACTCAAACTTGCAAGGATCTTGCTCCTTCACCATCACCATCACTGGTAAGTTGATAAAGGTCGGCGTCTTGGAGTTATCGAGTCTTAGAAGCAATTTGCAGGAACAAATTTCGAGATGATAATTGAAAAGAAAAGCTGGTCGTAGAAGAATCTGAGGTTTCCACCCCTTAACCGATTGCACTGTTTTATACAATTCTGCATTTTTTCATTAACCCTAACTCCCTAGGAATTATTGCTGGGATGCAACCTCAATCCTGCAAAATCCTCCAACTGCCTCCATGTAAAAATTGCATACAGCCTCATCAGTTCTGTAAAATGCTCGGTTATTTCTTGAATGTGGCCCTTGGAGGGGTGACCACTGCCTCGATCTTGCAAAATCCTACACCAATTCACTGTCAATATGTTGAGGCAGAGCCAGTGACATCCTGGAGCAGTGCGCAGGATTTCAAATATAGTATAGGCCTAAATTTATGCACGGCTGATCATAAACAACACAAGGTCCGGCCCAAGACCTTGACCCAATGATAATAAAATGTTTATATAAAATTCAAGATCGATAATTCGTTCATGCGTGTGCCACTTTGTGCAACAATGCATTTTTAGGAAGAACAAAAATATGTCACGTCACATGATCCCAGTCCACTGTCTGGCTAGCTTTCAGCATCACAGGGATTTGTTTGTGATTGTCTTGTGATGGACTAGGGAGGACTTGTGATGGGATTGTGAGGACTTGTGATTGACTTGTGATTGACTTGTGATGGACTTGTGATGGACTTGTGATGGAATTGTGATTGACTTGTGATGGACTTGTGATGGACTTGTGATGGACTTGTGATTGACTTGTGATGGACTTGTGAGGACTTGTGATTGTCTTGTGATTGACTTGTGATTGACTTGGGAGGACTTGTGATGGGATTGTGAGGACTTGTGATGGACTTGTGATTGACTTGTGATTGACTTGTGATTGACTTGTGATGGACTTGTGATTGACTTGTGATTGACTTGTGATTGACTTGTGATTGACTTGTGATGGACTTGTGATGGACTTGTGATGGACTTGTGATGGACTTGTGATGGACTTTTGATTGACTTGTGATGGACTTGTGATGGACTTGACTCCAAGCTCCTAATGAGCCTCACCGTTAGTTATTTTGTCCTTTTTTAAATTTTAGCTTCAGGCAATCCGAAACCCCAGCAGCCCGGACAGCCGGACAAGTTAGGCGGTGACGGCCAGGAATTGACGCTGACAATTGTCATCGGCGTGGTTGCACTGGTCGTCGTTCTGGCCGTCGTGATGCTAATCGGGCTCTACATGTACAACAAACGGTAGGAACTCCCTTAAAACTTTCTTCATTCTGACAAGTTTTGGAATTTTTTTTTTTAAAGTAATTATATTTCAAATCAACAAAGCAAGTATGCGAGGGAAAAAAATCTCTTATTTCTGGATATATAATTTAATAGGAGGATACTGCTTCACTACATCACAACTGCACGGTTGGTTTGGACATCTTTACCAAGAAAACAAGTATTATATCAAGCAACATTCTCAATTTGTGTGTAATATAAAAAGCAACTGTACAGCTTGAGTTGACTGACAAACGAGTTCAAATGTCGTTTCAGATTTTGTATAATGAAAACATTCAAATTTTGATCGATCAGTATTTTTGTTCGGTGTAAAAAGACGAAAATTGTCTGAAATTGTCTAATCTTGCATTTGGATCTTCAATTAAGCCTCCGTCTCTTATCCCTATTGGTGTACACAAAAAATGGAACAGAGTTACTTATGCGAGGAACCGTTGATATTTTTTTAATGAAAAAGGGAAAAGCGTTATTGCGAAAGACAGACTTTTCGACTGACGTCTAAAGGTTCGAGGGTCGTAAAACAACAGATTTTAGGATATGAGGCAATTCTTTTTTTTTTCCTTTTCCTTTTTTAAATAGAAAGAGCACCAATAGCGAGACGTCTTCTGTCGGGAGTGGCAAGGGTATCTTGAAGGGCCAGAACTCTACTGAGGAGCCGCGCTATTCCAAACAACCCATCGGACAGACTCACGAGATCGCCTAAACGTCTGATATCCTGCACTGAGTCGCTGACCCTGCCTTTAACAGATCTGACCACACCCATTAAACCAGGCCCAATTTAACCACACCCATCTGACCATGCTATCTGATTGTGCCATCCATTAAAAAAAACTGATGTCTTTAACATACAGGTTATCAGTAGCTTCATTTGCAACCAGTTTTCATGACCACGCCCATTTGACCAACTGAAAATGAGGTCTTAAAAAATAGCAGCTAATAATATGCAACACATTTAAGAACGCTCTTATTAGTAAACTGAATCACAGTGCTTACAGTGTTATTATTACCCCTGATTATTGGGCCAGTTAAACATTCCAAATACCATCTCAGCTCCCTGGGGAGTATACAGCTCGATGCTGCCTGTTAGGCACAAGGAAGCTAATTCAATCACAATAACCATCTCTGCCCTCTCAGGTACCCATTTACTCCTGGGTGGAGAGAAGCAATGAGTGACAAAGTGCCTTGGCCAAGGCCACACGCACCATGACCCCGGCTGGACTCGAACCCACAACCTGCAGCTTTACCCACAGACCACGAATCAGTGCCCTTAACCACGAGGCCACAGCACTCCATGGCAGCTAGATTTATTTTCAATCCTGCCATCCCGAATTTTTACTGGGTCTAAAGTGGGTCAACAAAAATGGTCCTGTCAATTCAAGTTTAAAACGGTAATCAGCTGTTTTTTTATTCATTTTCAAGTAAATAGTGGAGAAGGCAGGGGGCAAAATGCACCACGACTCCTGAAGATTTGTAATAAAGAAAAGAAAGATTGCTTTAGTTTCTACTTTTTCTATTTAGGGTTCTATTTTTGGTAACAAAGTTTGAAGTTCACGATTTTCTTTAAATTTTAAAGTTTTTTTTATAAACTTTTTTTCGCAATGAGCTTCAAATCTTAATTGTATGCAGTTTAATCTACCTCATTACACAGTGTACACTTGCAATGATTTTGCCGCAAAATGCTTTCAGTTAATTAAGCTATATTAATCGGTTTGTGATTTACAGTCGTATATGTATCTTGAGTGTAGCCAGAATTTGCAATTAATGTTTCACACTTTCAGTAAAAAGTTCCACTTTCCATTTAAAGCTTATAACACGACAAAATTTACACAGACGTATTTCAAGCATATTTTTTACAGATAAGTTAATCACTTGCATTCTGCCAAACTGCGGTGGAAGCCACTGGGATCGGAGACTAGGGGGAACGCCCTCTCCCGCGAGCACACATACTTTCGAAATTGTGCTTTTCCCGCCATTTTTGGGTTGTAATTCCACAAAGAAAAAAACTTGGCTATTGAAATTGACACAGAAATACGTGCGTAAACTAGTGTCAGATGTGAACAGCGCCATCTATCGGTGCCCTCCTTAACGAAATTTTCTTGTTCCCTTTTTCTTGTAAAGATTTTGTTGAAACATAATCAAAATTTGAATGCCCCCTTTCAATAGCATTCCTTTACCGCTGATTCTGGCAGCACTCTGCACTTGTTAACGTGTTTATGATTTGTATGTTTTATTCAAAATGTATTTTGTACTCGGACATATATATTTTTTTTATTAGGGAAAGCACTCGATGATTCATTTGAACTTCACAAAATGTCAGTTTCATAATATTTGAGCAAGAAAATGTTGTTTAATAATCCTGATCACACTCAATTTCGATAAAGAAGAGCCAATAAGGACATTTAATATCGACACGACCATGACTGAATCATCACTGTTATTTGTTTGTTTTAATTCATAATTTTGTTTTACATATATTTTTTACAAACAAAGTATATTTGCACTAAATTGTAGTAGTTTGAAGCCATGTTATATGAATGCTGTGTATAAAAAGCTATGAGGCTGTTTAAAATGTTTGTTACTTTTTTTCAGAAGGGTGTCCCTTTTTATTTCTATGGTTCTCATGTTGTTTTTGCCTCTAAAGTTCGGTCTGTCGGTCGGTCAAAAACAAATCTGAAGAAATGTGTTTAAGTTGCACCTAAGTTAAATAATACCACGTGCGTATTGTCTCGGCTTTGTTTATTGCAATGGGCTTATCATGAGTTGATATCACAGAATAAAATAATGAAAACATATTTGGCAAGATGAAGTTGACAGGCTTACATTATATCTGCATCATGGCTTTAGTGGCAGCTATGACAGACCAGTAAAGGTATACTTCAGGGTGAGTAAAAAAAAACCACGAAACCCAAATGTCGGGACTATTATTTTAGTGAAGTTCTGCATGTAGCACTTTCAAAATCTAGGATACAAAGCCCAAGTCATAAGCTTGTTTTTAGTTTAAGAATCATTCATATCACTCATGTACTTTTGAAGTTACGGAATTTGAAACACAACCACCGTTTTAAAGTTCTGTCCACGGATCACAAAAAAAAGGTGTGCGCACTTTCAGCAAAACGGTAATAATTCACACACACACATTCCCGGATGGGATTTGTTTTCGTTTTTGCTGAAAGAACACTTGCCTTTTTGTGATCTGTGGACAGAACTTTAAAACGGCGGTTGTGTTTAAAATTCCGAAACTCGAAAATTACATGAGTGATTTGAATGATTCTTATACTAAAAGAAAGCTTATTAATTGGGCTTTTATATCCTAGATTTTGAAAGTGCTACATGCAGAACTTCACTAAAAAAAAAATAGTCCCGACATTTTCGGTTTCGTTCTTTTTTACTCGCCCTGTATAGGCCTAGACAGTTGAAATGATGATAGGCAACATCCGTGCGCTCTTCTGTAATTCTACTGGTTGATAAGCCATACTTTGCGTAAACATCTGTATTTCATTTTTGATTTTCAGCACAAAGCCCGATTGCCTGCATTTTGTATTCAGTATTGCTTTTAAATTTGTTGATGTATTTATTTGTTTTGTTCATTGGGTTCCAGATAGGGTAGGCGGTAATAAAACATTTTCTTTTTGGTTGGGTCAGGAGTCCAAAACGGAGTGGGTCGGAAATGCGAACCAAAGAAATAAGAAGGGATGCTCTAAGGATTTTATTTCTGTACATTCGGTTGCCTTACACTATTTTCTTCCTAAGTGCATGTTACCTCATCTGTTTCGTTTGTTGCTGCTGGTTCAGAATAAATTAAATTGTGAGGTAAAACAAACATGGACATTCCTTTAGCAATAAATGGTGGTTGGTTTCTTGCAAAATTATGACACCTCTGTTTAAGTTTGCTTCATTAGAAAGTCTATATAATTTGTATTTTTTTTATTTTTTGGATTATGAGGCCAGACTGTACATAAGAGAATAGGCCATGTTGTAAATATGTTTTACGGACTCCGAGATAAAATAGTGAAATCCATATTTGTTAGGTTTTTTTTTTTGTAAGTGTAATACACTACGTTGTTCATTACACTTCAAACGCTCTTGGTTTATCCATTTTTTTTCTTAACGCTGTTTAACCCTAAAAAGGGCCGGGTTATTTTGACCATCTTTCAGCCGGGGGGCGGGGGCGTATTTCCCTAAGATCTCGGCCATCGAGTGACAAAACATTTTGAAACTCGGTACATGCATAGAGCAACTCATCATAAATGTATGGCTATAATTATTCATATGTACGAATGATGGCAGTTCTGCCCTGTGTACACGACGCATATGGGAAAATTCAGTTCTCCCGGATTTTTTTTAAATGTTTTTGGTATCAAAAGATGCGCAAGGCTCGAGGCTAAAAAGTCATAACAGCTCTGGTTGCAAAAAAATAAATAAAAAAAAATAATCTAGGCTATCGCCGAAAAAGTCGGGGGGGGGGGGCGGATTACGCCCCGGCCCTGTTAGGGTTAAGGCCTACATCATTATATAAGGTCTGCAGCATTATATATACCAAAGCCTTCATATGTCGTTCTTAAGTGTGGATGAAATACAAAAATCTAATAGCTATGCCATAATCAATTGGACACTTCGAATGCCCCCCCCCCAAAAAAAAATACAGTTTGTGATAATGACGTCTCATGTGAATTGTAAATGTTAAACTTTAACATTCTTATAATATGACAATTATAGTGAACACAAAATGCTGAATTCGAAATGACTTTTGTAATGAGTACAGAAAAACAAGAGAGCTCTGTTTGCTGTTCCGAGGCAGAAACACTTTTACTATGAATCACTCTCGATTTAAAACTAGCTTGCTCGATTTCAGTTTCCATTTTCTGCCTGAGTTCTACACTTCTTCCCGTGGTGAACTTTGCTGTTTAGTCACAAAGGTGCGATTATACGTATGGCACAATGAAGACTTTGTAGCATTAGCATACACGCGCCCCGGCTGTGATTTTTTTCTCACAAACGACATCCGCATAAGGGTCTACGCTATGGCGTTTTGGACTTTACTTTTCTAAAAACTTGAGAAGAAAACATAAAATTAGGGGGGGGGGGAACTGAATTTGAACGCAATGAAGTTTGGACTCTATTTCCCTTTCAAAAAATATCCTTGACACCAGGAACTCAATTTTGCCGTCACGGATGACTGAGCACCAAGTGATGTACCTGACGTATGCCAGAAATGGCCTTGTACCACATGCACCATAAGACTAATTGGCAGTTATCAGAGAGAGATACGTTATCAGAAATGCGTATAGCAATGAGAACCAGGGCAGAGATTTGCGTTGAAAGAAATGGGGGCATGTTGAAGGACAGTGGGGTTAATGGAGACAGTGATGAACCTAGTTGATATGTTTTAGCAATTGAATAAATGACTTTGATAATGTACGTCCTAGATTGTGTTATTTTCACCATGCTGAAAACTGTCAATTGGTCTTATGGTGCATGTGGTACAAAGCCATTTCTGGCATTTCAGTTACATCAACAGTGCTCAGTCATCCGTGACGGTATAATGGAGTTCCCAGTGTCAAGAAAAAGAAGACATGGTTATGTAACAGATGGTGGTTACCATTTTCCTAAGTAATTAGTCATAGGCCTACCCGAGAAATCAACAAAATAAGCTCGGTTTCCCTTTTTTTTTTGAAACACCCTGTATACCTGCGTACGTATCATAAAAGTATCGTAGTGGGCTAAACAACCATGTATGTGGATGTAGTTTGGGAAAAGAAAATTCGCGCCCCGGCCCACATCGAATTCAGTGACCTTCTAAAATTTTCGTAGCTTTTCATTCGTTTGGGGTACAATAGTTTGGGGTACAATGATCAATTTACAAGTTCATGTATACCTCACTGGTAGCAATGTTTAGATTTCTAGTAAAACAGGAAACAGCCCAGCCAGGTGACGCAGTGGGAAAGTTATCTAAAATATTTATAAACATTACAACAAAATAGCCGATAGTATATCATTAGTTTCAATCTTGAAGATAATCGAGACTTAAAAAAAGATAAGATATATACAAGTACAACAAAGTTATAAATAAAACCAAATAAGTTTTCATTTATTTTGTCCCTGTTTATTTCTTAATGTAATAGGGCTCACATCTGAGTGTTTTGGCAAGACTGCATTTTGTGCCAGAAAATAAGGGGAATAAAAATCTTAGGAATAATGGCGCACGACACAAATTCCTCACTGGTCCAACGTCGAGATTTGAAATGCGTAAGCCTCTGTGTTCCTTTGACTCTAACACCTAAGTGGTGAGATACTACCTGACGTCACTGAGACATCATGACGTCACATTGTTTGCCTCATTGCATTCTGGGAGCAAGGTGCATTCTGGGGAAAATATTGGAAATGCGTTCCTTCACTGGTATTGCTATTATCTGGCTCCATCAATGTTTGTCGATTTGCTGTGGAGGAAACGAAAAGCCCATAAACTCCCCTGCATATTGCGGATGGTTTGTACAGTTCGATTTCAGACTTCATGGATTACGAAAAAGGGCCCGGGGGGAATTCTTTTCGACCAAGAAAGCCAAAAGGATTTTTTTTTTAGGAGGGAGAATAACAAAATATATGCCAACGATCCTGCATTCCCCAAACAAAGGCTTAAGGTGGCAGGTGCGGAAATTGTAAAGACTGATTTTTTTTGTAAATCATGCAGCCGACGCATGTGTGTGGTATTCTACTTTTGTTGGTACCAAGTCGGACCACCAGAAGCAGGTTCGGAACCTTTCACTGATTTCAAAGGAAGTTTTCTTTGACAGGGGTGGGACAATGACTCATACTTCAAGAAAAAAATCTTGAAAAAAAATCGGAGTTTTGTTTGATTCGGAGCATACTCAACGAGTAGGGTACTGTTATAAGATACATCTTAACACACAGGTTCAGTCAAAAAAGTGGAACCCAAACCCCCAAAATTGTATTACATATGTAAAGAAATATGAAGCACCAGAAATAATAATGACAGGAAAGCCAATTGCATAAGCTACGTTTAGATAAGAAAAATACTAAAATTGCTCAATCCGTTCATATAATATCACCATTTAAACACAATGACCCTAAAACCTCTTTCGTCCAAAAATGCGATTTCAAGAATCGTCCTCGCAATTGTCTTTAAACATCACCAGCGATAAAACCTCAGTTTAAAGTTAAAAATATTCAACAATGTCCCGTCTTTAAAAATACTACAGTTGTTGAAACAAGTATTCTCTGTCATTTTCTTTGTTGTTCCAAAACAGTCAGAATACACAATAAGTTGCTCTTTTGAACGAAGCAGGTTTTAGGTTCATCGCATTTAAATGGTGATATTTTTTAAACAGATTGAGCAATTTCAGTAATTTTATCATCTAAAAGTAGCTGAAGAAATTGGCTTTCCATCCTCATTATTTTGGTGATACATATTTTTTAAATATGAAATATAATTTGGGGGTTTGGGTTCCGGTTTTTTTTACTCACCCAGTATATAGAGAGATATGACACTTTACCATAAGCTTACATGTTTGATCTTTTTATTATAAGAATAATAAAAATAAGCATTTACAGAACGCTCTTGCACATAAGGTATTACAGCGCTTAACAGAAAAGTAAGTTACAAAAACAAAGACTCATAGTGAAAGCAGTGGAAGCAGTTCACGATCGAACAGAAAATTCTTGAGACAATTCTTGAATCCTTCAAGTGACTGCGCTAAGCGAACAATGTTGGTGCAAAAAATTACGGCAAGCGGTTCGTGGCTCGCTTAAGGGCCCCGAAAAAGTTTTGTATTCTGGATGCTCTGTGTTGCGATAAGAGACAATTTCTGACCACTTTAACCCTTTTTTTTGAAAAAAAAGATGGTGGTGTACGCAGTGCCTGACTAGTCTTTATTGCGACGTCACTTTATAAAAAAATGGGATCCTTTTTTGGGGTGGTGGTGAGGGTGGGGGTGGGAGTGAGGCGGGGGGGGGGGAATGGTCCCCGTTGCCCCCCCCCCCCCGATCCGCCCTTGTAGTCCATCTCCATTGTAGAGTCAAATTCCACGCCAAGATTCCGAACAGTGTTGGATGGTGTGATGACAGCATTCTCGATTTGGATTGATAAATTTGACAAGAAATGTCGCGAAGACGGATTTGTGGCAACCATACATTGGGTCTTATCACAGTTGAGATGAGACATAAACCATTTATGGTGGATCAAGCATAAGCGGACATTGCTGTGTCAAAAGGACTGTAATTTTACTGTGTATATTAAAGCTTAGATAAACATAAACAAAATAACTTCGCCGGAAACCCGTAGAAAAAAATAGAAATGACGTTACGTGCCGGAAGTTCCGCTTTTGAGTGAATTCCTAGTAAGCGGGTCAGGTGCAAAATTCCCAATTACCTCACCAGTGTGAGTCGGATGAGAAATTTCGGTTACCGCTGATGGTTCGGACAAGTTCAATTTTTCACTGCGCATCAACAATAGCAACCTATATGATTCAATACAGGACGGTAGTGAACAGGTGCGCCTTAAAAAGGCACGAGCAGCGGAGTGGTACGAACAGACAGCTTTTGAAGCTAGCACGGAGTGGTTGTATGTACAGTCTGAACTTTTGTAATAGGCAACACCCCGGTCGTGAATTGGTACAGTAAGAGCCCGGGCCGAGGACAAGATGATGACCATTGGTCTGGTGACTGTCTTCTGTCTGGTGGCAGGAACGCTTGGGCAAGGTAAGACAACAGTAAGCCCGGTAAGGCGAGCCGGAGTTAATTCTTCTCTTAACGCCTTGCAAAAGACGGCATGCCGGCGCCTTCTGTGCGGGGCAAGTATTAAATAAATATACGTATTATAAATGAATACGTACCCAGCCACAAACGAAATGAGCAAATTGGCCGTGAATGTTAGTGACAATTATAACGACGGGAAATTGGTTATCTGGCAGACATTTCCACAGACTTGGGTACAACTGTTTTTCAATCTTTAATGTAAAATACCCCAACTTTACCTGATCTATATACCCCAAGAATTTCAGTATATATGTTTTGAACCGCGAGCAGTCGATCTAGCGTATTTCCGACGGTAAGTTTGGTCTCTAAATAACAGCTATTACATGGATGCATTGAAATGTCTCCCTAAATGTCTGGTGTCTGCCTCAAGGTATAATTATTAACGACTAAATGACTCCCTCAGGTAGCATTAACAGGTGTAATACAAAGCCTTTATAAGGCGCTCAGTAGGCATATGTGAAAATAGTACTTATTCAAAGACGCCGATGTAATATGAGAGGAGATATTGATGGTACAGTGGTTGCCGTGTCGCGAGCTGCAGCTACTCGCATTCTCGTCGACGCGTCCACACAAAATGGCTACAACGCAACAAAAACGATGGCCGCAAATAGGGCTTCAGCCTGATTCGCGCTTTTCATGCAAAAAAAAAAATCACCTGATCGATACAACCAAAGCTGTTTTGGATCGTCAAAGATCCAAAAAATGCACACATCAAGACACTATTTTTTTTAGCAAAAGATGGATTACGATTTTTATATGCCTGGGACAAATCGACAAAATAATAACAGTGAGATTTCCGTTTTCGTCGACCACGACGAAAACCTCCTACATTTTTGACGGCCATCAAGCGAAAGATGAAATCGTATCTAGAAAAAATGTCGTGTGCGTGAGATCGTAAATATCGTAAGAAAGCTATTTCGTATTTATGTTTCTAACCACCTCGATTTTTTTTACAACGCCAGAAGCTGGCCGCCATTGTTAAACACGGAAATGGTATGCTCTTGTGACCCAAATTAGATGCCCCGCCTTCTGATTGGTCGGAACACCTTCTTAATATTCATGCCATCACATGATTCACATGGCGATTCGTGTTGAATTTAGTGAATTCTGACAAAGAAAATTCAGTTCAGAATAAAACAATGCATACACATTTTGTTCCTTCCTACAGTTCCAAATGCACCGTGTTACCAAACAAAAAAATCACTGCATTTTGTGGGAATTTGTTTACTCACAACTCTTATCTCAACTTAATACTCGGAGTAAGGATGCAACTGAACAGTAATTTCTTTTTCTTTTAAAATGAACAGTTTGCATTTCTAAGACACACTGTATTTCAATATCGTTAATGCTTCTTCATTTTAACTACGTTTCTCTTATCTTGTCTCCGAATGATTATTCTTGTAATTTTGTTATTTATTTTGTTATTATTTTATTTACTTTGTATATGTTTTTTACGTTATTTTTGGGGGGCAACTCTCCGGACACTGTTGTTTAACTCTGGAGCAGCAGCGGCTGGCCAATTTCATAGAGCTGCTTAAGCACAAAATTAGCTAGCTGGTCGTTGATGCATGACGAACGAAATCTGATGCAAAAATAGCGTGACTCCGAGCGTTCCAACTCGTAGGTTATTTAGCCTAGTTGTAACCAAACCCGGCAGGAATACGGCATGAACTACTTGTATGTAATATGCTTTTTCAAATAAAATCTCAAACAATGGAAATATATAGAAATATATCACCTTTTGACTCCGTGATCAAACTTGGTGATGAGTCAAAGTCCATGCATAAAGAGCAAACTATATGCTCTTCGGTAATAATGTGCAAACCAAACCCGAAACCGAAACCGACAGGACCCGAAACCGACTTCCGGTCGGGTCTGTTCGGTTTCGGTTTACCATTTACATTTTCGGGTGGGGTCAGGTCGGTTTAGCCATCTTTTGAAAAAAAACGAAACAAACTGAAATAAACCGAAACAGTTGAGACATTCAGGTGATACAATATTACTGACAAGTCATTGTGACTGCAGCCGATTGTGGTGTGGTCACCTAGCGCACTATCGGGTCGGTTTGAGGGAGTTAATGTCGGTTTCGGTTCGGTTTATATCCCTGATGTTTCGGGTCGGTTTGGACTTGTCAACCCGACCCGATGCACATCCTTACTCTTCGGTACTGCATGTAAGGATACACAAATTATGCGGATTTGGCAAAACACAATTTAGGGACTATACTAAAGATTATCATAAGGTATCTTTACAGGGTGAGTCAAAACCCTGCCCTCCCCCTCCCAATAAATTCTTCAAAACATTGTAAGCAATTCTCACCGATTGTCATCCAATGGGATCGGATAGTCAATACTTTCATATATCAGTTATTTTTCAAATTGATTTTCTAGTACAGATGTCAATTATATCTTTAAAATTATTTCATCTACTGCTTTGCGATATGAAAAAAAAGGCATTGGTTTCCCAGTTCAAACTCATGCAAATAGTTGACCAAGGAATATAATATTACAAACACTAGTATTTTGGTGGATTAAAAAAAAATTCAATTTGAACTTAAAGCATTGATTTAATGACTTCTCGTGCCATATAGTAGCCACATAGAGGTGGTTGTAATGGACGTGGCCATATCTACATTGTGCCGGGCAAGCATTGTGTACGCGTACCATTGTACAGATACGCTTGCAAACGTATTTTAATTCAGCTTTCATTCTTTCTTTATTAGTGATTCTCTGTTGTGTCAGTTCATGGCAGAAAGCCAATGAGCAAACTTTTCTCACAAATAGTTTCAATGGGCAAATCTTTGGGTTCACAATTTCAACAGAAGAAAAATACCAACAGTGTCTTACTGAAATGACATCGCGGCAACAGCGCCCTCAGTTGTCTGGAAAATCATGGCAAATTTTAAATGTTGAAAGAAGTGCACTTTTCAGTAAAATTAGTAACCAAAAAGGGATGTTAATTAGTTTTCATACACTTAAAAGAGGATTAGAAACTGACACAAAATAAGTTCCGAAGAAATATTCACTTCATGGGCCCTTGAATTTGACAATAGAAAACTGAAATAAAAGTTATATGATTTTTTTGGGCTTTTCCTCTGTTGATCCACACAGTCTTACAGAATTCGGTATTTGTACCTCAGAAATGGCGTCGAATTATGGTTAATTTGTCTTATTTGTTTTTGCTCTCGCAGGTTGGCCTCCAGAATTTAGTCAGTGTCCTTCAGACCAGTATCACAGTATCGCTGATACTAAGCCCGGTGTAAATGTCACCTGGCGGGAACCATACGTCCAAGACGACTACGGTGAAACGACTCAACCCGTCCAGACATTCGGCCCCCAGTCTGGTTCCATTCTCGAGCCCGGGTTCTACACCGTCATCTATAAAGCCACTGATCGGGTTGGACATCCTGTTGAGTGCTCGTTCGATATTGAAATCCAGGCATATGGTAAGACTCGGTTAAGGAGAATACACGTGAAAGTGTGGATTCGTATTTTAAGAATTCACGAGGCGCGAAGCGCCGAGTGAATTTGTCAATTAAGAATCCACACTTGCGTCAAAAGAAGTATTGGCATTAACAGTGAGTGGAGATGAAAAGACATGGGATAAATGTTGCAACCTGACGCCACTTCCGCGATTGTGTACAAAGTCTATGGAGAGTCAAGAATTTTTTTTAAAAGTATTTCCTAACAAAATTGGAAATATTTCTCAGTCCCAGATTCATGTCTTATCATCATTTTTGCATGAATTCCCTTCATTGAGATGATATATGGAGGAAAAAAGTGGCGTCAGGTTGCAACATTTGTCCCGGCTCCTTCCGTCGACAAATTGATATAGGTCAGACGATGATTTCTTTCTGACTCGAAATAGATTTTGCAGTGACGGCGGACAATCTGGCAGTGAAGATGCATTGGTAATTTCGGAAGGAAATTTTCACGCATATGGTCCTATTAATGCTCATTATGGAGAACAATTGTCTGACGTGTTCAAAGTGTGGATTCGTAATTCCGAATCCACACTTCACTAAAGATTCTTCGTTCCGAATCCACACTTTGTGACCAGCGTAACAGATTCGTAGTTCCGAATCCACACTTTTAACAATAGTGTGACGTCATAGCAATGGTTTAAATTAAACTTAATTCATTAAAGCCCCTGTCACACAGTGCCGTTCTGGCATCCCGATGGTGTCACGACCGTAGATTTGGCAAAACTGGACGAGGACTTGACGGCAACTGCTCAGGAGTCAGGACGCTCGTGTTGGGGACTTGTGGGGGACTGCATAGGTCGTGAATTAGACACTGGATTGTCCTGACAGAACGGCAAAGTGCCCCGACTCTTTTGAGCATGTTCAAAACAAACGGGGACTCTCCCGTCCTATTCACAACAGGGTAAGGACGCTGCAAGGTCGGGCGTGGACTTAACTCAAACGGCCTGGAGAGCATCGTTGTGAGAACTACAAGCACGAAGCTGCATCGGGACCGTCTTTCATTCACGGGTCTCCTACGTCTGTGCCGCTCTTACACAGTACCTATACGGGGCCGTATCATTAGTCCGACGCCTCATAGGTCCAACGCCTCATATGTCCGACGCCTCATAAGTCCGACAATGGACAAACGCTGTGTCAGATTTATGCGGCGTCGGACCTATGAGGCGGAATGAATAAATTGTATGCCTACTAAGTCTGACGCCATGAGGCGTCGGACTTATGAAGCGTCGGACTTGTGAGCGGACCCCGCCCATACCAAGACCTCCGCCCGTTGATAGCACTAATCACATGATAGACTTGACGTCAACGGCTTTAATATACGGGACGAGGAAGGGGTGTGGACGGGAGTGTGAGCCACATTTGTCTTGAATAGAACTGTCTGAGCACGGCTTGGACTGGACAAGGACGGGACGAGGACGGGGAACACACACAGATTGTGGTCTGGGATCCAAGGTTGGAGCCATAATTTTTTTTTTTATTTCCCGCGTTGCAGCCACGTTTCAATATTTTTCTTTGGTAGTGACCATCGTATCACGCACGGGGTTAGAGAGCGGCACTGTGTGACATGGACTTCAGGCTCACAGTATGACTGAGCGATTGACAGATATTTCTATTTCCCTCCGAGTGGCAAGCCACTCCACTGCAAGTTGTTCTGCAACTTATCATTTTTATACTGCTGGTTGGAGAGAAGCAAGATAAATCGGCAGTTGGAAAATAATCAGCAATAATCGATCTTTGAGTATTGATTTCTTCGCTTCGCCAATGTAGTTTAAGAGTGTTGCATACCCATTGCTGTCTAAGTGATAGCGAGATGAAAATACACAAGCTTTCTTGGGTAGTATACTTGAACGCATAGCTTCCTGTCTAAGACATCTTGTCACTGGAAACCGAAGTTTGCCCCCCAAAAACCAGAAAATTGAATTTACATCCCCATTATCCAAAATAGAGTTAACAGTTAACTCTATACAGAAGACAATCCCATCACTTTTGCGATAAGTAATAGTTACTATTTCTTACAGCTGCGATTGACGTGTGTCAATCTGCTCCGTGTCAAAATGGCGGCGACTGCATTTCATCCAGCTCGTATTCATATACCTGTTCATGTGCTCTCTATTCCGGGTTCAGCGGAACGAACTGTGAAATCCCACCTGGTAAGTGTTGAGAAAAGGTCATTTTAAAAATCATGAGAATCTGTATCGACTGAATCGATTGTTGTTTAATAGACCCGATTTAACAAGGGCGGATTGAGGGGGGGGGCGCAACGGGGGCCACGCCTCCCCCCGAAAAAAGTTTTTTAAGTGACGTCGCAATAAAGACAGTCAGTGCGTACACCACCATCTTTTCCTTAAAAAATGGTTAAAGTGGTCAGAAATTTCCTCAGATCGCACCACAGAGCATCTAGAATCCAAAACAAAATTTCGGGGCCCTTCAGTGGGCCCGAACCCCACGCCGCCATTTTTGACCCACATTTTGGGAGACCAAAATTTTGGTTGCCCCCCCCTCCAAAAAAAAATCGTTCTGGATTCGCCCTTGCTGATTGACCACTCTTTCTTGGTAGATTGTTCAATTAGAAGAAGAGCACAAACAAGCTGAGAGGCAATGACAAGCATTATAAATCACATGACTAGTTTGGCTGGTAACCTGGTTTTTCTAAACAGTTTTTTTTTGTACCCGGCAAATGTCTGTACTTCACAACTCCATGAGCTGAAATCTCCTGAACTGATTGTGTTTTTTTTTTTAAAATAAAACAATTAGAATGGCCTTTTATTTCACAATGATAGCAAGGACTTCTTCAGAGGCAGGAAGGAGCCCTTGCTAAAGCTAGAATATCAGGCCCTCTATTTTCTTTTTAATTGTAAGCAGAAATACAAACTGACTTTACCAATGCAAACGTTTTTTTCCCCTCACTATTTCTTAAATTTTGATGATACTGATGACATCGCAACATCAGATTCGACTTTAATGGAAATCTGTGGGAATTTTGTCAATTTAAGCAGAGTTATTTCATAACATGTCTCTTGTTACGAAATGGGAACTGACCAATTTTAGTAATCCTCAAAAGAAAAAAAGAAAAATTTTCACTTCAGGAAAGATCAGAAAATAACGAAATGGATATGAATGTTTATTTTTTTCTTCACTTGAAAAAGTAACTGACACATCCGATTTTTTATTCTACTAGAATCATTTGAATGTTTTCTACCATGTGAAAATGGCGCTACATGCATCGACACCATAGACTGGTACGAGTGCAGATGCACGCCAGGCTACACGGGCATATACTGTGACGTGTACAGTCCTGCAACAACGCCCGGCCCAACCACAGGTTAGTTACTCATGATTTCCTTGGAGTTCTTGAAGATGAAGGCATTGTTCAATTAGAAGAAGAACCTGCAGAAGCCGAGAACCATCGACAAGTACTTTTAACCATATGACTAGTTTGGCTGGCTGAGTTTTTTTTTTAAATCTAAGCAATGTTTTTGTGAGACCAGCAAATTTCTGCACTAAGAAGATTTTCCTTTTTTTAACACATGTTTTCCTGAGTACTGAGATATATCTTTTGTTCAAAAATCGCCTTTCACAGGGTTTCTCTCATAGCTCTAGGTCAGGGCTACACAAAGAAAGAAAAACCGATAATCGGTAAGGCCAGAACAGAAAGGCCAGGCCAATGCCCACCGCCTACCGGTGCAGGGCTCTGCGTTTAGGCCTGTTCTAGTTATTCTTCGTGTCCTGAACAAGAGAAATGTTGTTCTCATGGATGTGAACATGTCTGCGCCAATCCAGTTGTTTAAATATGGCTATGTTTTTCCTCTTGCAGTTGATGACTCTCCTCCAGAATTTCGCCCGTGTCCCGCAGACATTGCTCGCCGTATCCCTGCTAGTAATGGCGGGGTAAGGGTGACCTGGCCTGAACTACACGTTGAAGACGACAGTGGTGAGACCATTCAACCCGTCCAGATTTTCGGCCCCCGATCTGGTTCAGTTTTCCACCTTGGATCCCATTTAATCGACTACGAAGCCCGCGACTCGGCAGGGAATACTGCCTTCTGCTCGTTCCATGTCAGAGTCACGGCTTATGGTAAGGCTGGATTAAACTCAATTCAATAGGCTGAAAATACGACACAGCAACTGCAAACATTTCTTTTTCCTTCCTGGATGGGAAGCCAGTGCACTCCAAGTTGCTGCCCAGTTGTAATGCCGGTATCTGTTGAATCTTCGGTCTAAGGAACCTTCGAACCATCGGCTTTATTGCCCCCACTGACGTTATTTCAAAAGCGCTGTAAATTGATTGCTGTCCAAAATACAAGCTTATTCAGGTTGGACTCGGACCCACGAATTAGATGTCAAAGGTTGCCATTTGTTTTTAGAATTTACATTCCCATTTTACAAAATAGAGATAATTACTCTTGACAAAACTGTTCTGTTCTACCGTAGAGCCTCCATCTATTTTCTGCCCGATTGACATCGACCACTGGCTGTCAAGCGGCGAGTCATCCGCCGTGATTACCTGGGACATGCCTACCGTGCTTAGCTCCTCCGGCCATGCCCGCTTGACCTACCAATCCATGGAGTCTGGCTCACGTCTGCGTCCGGGGACATACACGGTCCGCTACCGCTACACCGATGACTCTGCCTTGGAGGCATCTTGCTCCTTTACCATAACCATCCATGGTAAGTCGGTCAAAGTCTGCGTCTTGGAGAAATATCGAATCTAAGAAGCAATTTACAAGGACATACTTTCAGAGGATAATTGAATAAAGCTGGTTGGAAAATTATCCGAGGCATCCAAACCTTGATTACGGTAACTGCAGTTCTGCGCACTTTTTGCATTGCTAGTTTTCTTTCACAAATACCCAAGACAGAACTTTGACCCATTCCTATTGGTCGAGAGGCCGTCACATGGCTGGTTTTAAACGGTTGATAGAGATCAGCTGGCTGGTCCAGTGTCACATGAAATTTGGACTCGTATGAAATCCGGGTTTTGTTTACCGTTTTATTGGTTGAATATTAAAACATCACGAAAGCATGCACAATACTACCAGTGATTCGGTATTTCATAAGTCCTGAATGCACATTTCACCGGCACAGCTACATTCTACGCCACATCCCGCAGTACGCGCAACACGCGCGCACCAATCCCCATATAAAAATTAAACCAGAATTCTGCCAGAAATCTGCCCAAAAAATCCATTCTGTCAAAGTTTCTGTCAAACTCGTTTTAACAAAAAATCTGTAAAAGTTAGCCAAAAATCGTCTAAAACGATCACCCTGTTCACAATGTCAGCCAAGAGTTTGCACGGACAGTTAATTTTTCCCAGTGCATTATATTAGGGGAGATGGTCGACAAATTTGCAGTGCGGGACATTTGAAATTGTTCGTTTTTCTGGTCAGTAGTTTCAAAGCATATGATTGATTCGAGTATTTTGTTTGCCCTTTTCTTTGCTTTTTGTCAATATGGGATTGTTGTAAGGCGGCAGAACGATATACCCCAAGCTACAGCAAAATAACTCAAGTCGTCTGCTGATACTCATTCAATTGGACCATGATTTGTCGACCGTGAACTTGAAAAAATGACTCTCCATGGCAAACTCTTGGTAGCGCACTGCATTGTGAATCGCCCGATGGACTCCAACCTCCTAATGAAACTGATCTGTGGTATTTAGTGTTGCGTCCTTTTTTTGTTCTTTAGACTCCTGGAAACCCCAGCATCCAATACAGGGACCCCAGCATCCCATACAGCATTCCAAGGACTTGACACTGAAAATTGTCATCCCCGTTGGGGTACTGGTCGTCGTTCTGGCCGTCGTGATGTCGATCGGGCTCTACATGTACAACAAACGGTAGGAACTCCCTTAAACTTTCTGCATTCTTGGAAGTATTTATTTTCAATTGAAGGAATTTATACAGTGCAAACAAGCGGGGAAAACATCTCTTATTTCTGGATATATAATAAGGAGGAAACAAATGCAAGTTTTAACTGGTTCACTGCCTGCCTGACAGTTTTGTGTAAAACTGAACGATTGGTTTGGTTATCCTTACCAAGAAAACATGTATTATATCAAACCATGTCATCTTGTGGGTTATATAAAAAAAAGCAATTGAACAGCTATCTTGAGTTGACTGACAAACGAGTTTAAAAGTCGTGTCAGAGTTTAAACAAATGAACCTTCAAATCTAGATCGATCAGTATGTTTTTCGATGTTGAAGACGATCGTCTGAAATTTTCAAATCTTGTATTTTGGATCTTAAATTAAATTGCCTTCTCTTTTTCCTACGAGTGTTAACAAATTGGAACAGAGTAAACATTTCGACTGACGACTAATAATTATAAAAGATTAAAGGGTCATAAAACAGAAGATTTCAGGGTATGTGGTAATTTTTCCTTTCAATTTTTATTTTGTAAAAAACAACAACAACAACAGCAGAAGGAGCATCAACAATGGCGATTCCTCTTCAACCTGCGGCGGCATGCGTATCTTGAAGAATGAGCACCTGCCTGCCGAGGAACCGCGCTATTCCACTCCACCCATCGAAAAGACTCAAGAGATTGCCTAGACATCTGATATCCTGCGTTGACCCTGCCTTCAGAAGATCTGACCACACCCATTTAACCACACCCATCCCCCCTGACCGTGATATCTGACCGTACCATCCGTTTAAAATCCGATGTATTTAACATGCAGGTTATCAGTACCTTGTTTGATACCAGTTTTTTTCATCATTACCAGGCCCATTTGACCACGCCCGTCAACTATGAGGTCTTAAGAATATCTGCTGGAATTGCTTTTCCTCCTGCGATCCCCAATTGTTACTGGATCGAAAAATGGTGTAATTTTTGTTTTCACTTTTCCCACCCATTTTGTAGGAAATTGATTGATTATTAAATAGCGGAGAAGGCAGGGGCAGTAAATGCACCACGACTCCTGAAGATTTGTAATAAAGAAAAGAAAGATTGCTTTAGTTCTGCTTTTTCAGTTTCGGGTTCTGATTTTGTTGATGGAATTTGAAGTTCCCATTTTTAATTTTGTTTTTTATTTGTTTACACTTTTTTTGGCATGGAGCTTCAAATCCTTGTGTTTATTTGCAGCTAAATGTACGTCATATACACAGTTTACATTTGCAATTATTTTACCGCTAAACGCCTTTATTTAATTAAGCTATTAATCGGTTTGTGATTTACAGTAATATCTCGAGTGTAACCAGAATTAGCAATGGTTTTTAAAGTTTCAAACTTTCAGGAAAAACTATCCACTTTCCATTTAACTTATAACACAACAGCTACAGACATCTTTCAAGCATGATTTTTAGATACACGAATCACTTACATTCGGCCCATGCAGACACGGTGGGAGCGATTGGGATCGGAGACATGGGGGCATACAGGCCCAATATCCTCTCCCACGAGCATACATACTTTCGAGAAAAACAAATTCCCGCCGGTTTTTTTTTGTGCGTGGTAATTCCACAAGGAAAACATTTTAGCCATTGAAATTGACATAGAAACACGTGCGTACACGATTGTCAGATACGAACAGCGCCATCTATTGGTGCCCTCCTCGTTTACGGAATTTTCCTGTTCCCTTTGTTTCTTGAAAAGACTTTTTTGAAACATCATAATCAAAATGTGAATGCCCCTCTTTCAATGACGTTCCCTTACCGCTGATTCTGGCAACACTTTGCACTCGTTTACGTGTTTATGATTGGTATGTTTTATTCAAAATGTATTTTGTACTCAGACATATATTTCTTTTTATTAGGAAAAGAACTTGACGATTTATTTCAATTTCTCAAGATTTCAGCTTCATAAAATTTAAGCAAGAACATTTTGCTCAAATCTGATAAAAAAGAGCCAATGAGCACATCTCAGAACTTGTTTATCTGTTTATGATTTGTATGTTTTATTCAAAATGCATTTTGTACTCGGACACAATTTTTTATGACGAAAAGCACTTGATGATTCTTTTCAATTGCACGAAATTTCAGCTTCACAAAATTTGAGCAAGAAAATCTTGCATGATCCTAAACATACTCAATACTGCTGAAAAAAGGCCAGTGAGCACATCTCAGAATTTTTCTATCAATCAATCTAGTTTATTTCATAACTTCATAATGAAAACATATAAAGTACGTAACTTAATAGATAAACAAAACATAAAAGTAAATGACAAAGATAAGTAACAAAGATAAATGAAAAGCAGAGAAGTTATAAGGAAGTTGTAAGAAGTCCAAGGACTTATGAAACACTCCCTTTTTACCCCCCCCACCCCCACCTCCCCCCCCCCCCCGAGAGAAAATCCCAAGTGTTCCCGTTACACGTACCCAACTACCCCACCCCAACCTAAGATGTTCCATTAACTTAATAAAGACAAGAATGTATGTATAAAACAATGTACAATGTAAACACTGTGAGAGTGGTAAAGTAGTAATAGGCCTAAACAAAATAAACAAAATCAATTTCCTTGCAGGTAGTTTCTATACAATGTTTCGCTTCAGAAATAAAAGATGGCAATCCGTTCCAGAGTTTGCAGCCTTGATAGCGAATGCTGTGTTGGAGAGCTGTGGTTTTACATTTAACTTGAGTGCATTTATGTTTTGAGGACCGAGTAGTATATGTATGGTTGCTAATTGAAAAGAAATTGTTAAAAATAACAAACAGGAAGGTTGCCTTTGTGGTAATTATACATAAATACCGCAGTTTGCATGTGGTTGATGTTGGATACTTCGAGCACATTATACTTCCTAAAGCAATCCTGCACTGAGTCACTATACTTCAACCCTGTTATGTATCTATGTATTCACACAACCATGATTGATTCACCGCTGTTATTTGGTTTTATTGTGTATAAACGAAGTAGATTTGAAGTCATTTGAAGTTATGCTAACTTTTTTCATATATATACAGATTTTATTGCTGCATATTCGGTTGTCTTAAAATAGTTTCTTCCTAATAAGTGCATGTTACCCATCAGTTTTGTTTGTTGTTGCTGGTTCAGGATAAATTAAATTGTGAGGTAAAAAAACCATGCACATTTCTTTAGAAATAAATGGTGGTTGGTTTCTTGCAAAATAATGACACCACTGTTCCTTTGCTTCATTTCAAATTATATATAATTTTTTTTAAATTTTTTTATTTTTGGATTATGAGGCCATATTGTACATGCCTCATAATAAGAGAAGAGGCTTTGCTATATGTATATATTTGTATATATATTTATATAGCTTTTATGCTTTGTAAGGCCCCCGCCCCCCCCCCAAAAAAAACCCCAAATTGTCGATCAAATTTTGATCATGCGCGTCAATCTGTTTTCTCCTTCAAATTTTCAGCGGTAGCTACAACAGCGCCCCTTCTTTTGCCGCACCACCTCAAATTTTCGCACCATTAAGGAACACTGTCACGGAATGGGGAGGGGCACAAACTGGGCAATAAAGCAAAATAGTCCCCACTTTCTCTGTACAATCCAAGCATGGGAAAAAAGGTTCGCATGTTATCAATGCTTTCAATATTGAGATTTCAGATCGAGTGCTTCGTATCATTCTATTGTGTCGATGAAATACAAAAAGCTAATATCTGTGCCATAATAGATTGGGCACTTCAAGTAAACCCCCCCCCCCCCAAAAAAATGGTGATGATATTACAGGAAATGGGTCACTTGGCCCATAGACTTGTGTACAACAAGTTTTTTCATCTTTAATGTTACTTAACCCCAATTTTACCTTATCCTTCACCCGCGAATTTCGGTTTATTTCATGAATTGGACCATGAGCAATCAATCGAGCCTAAAAGTCTACCTCTAAATAGGAGCTGTGACATTAGGTAGACACTGAAATGTCTCCCTAATGTCCGGTGTCTCCATAAGGTATCATTAATGACCACAAAATGCCACCCAAAGGTACCATTAACAGGTGTAATAATAATATAGGCTTTCCCGGAAATTTTAAAACAGTTTTCGTTTGAATTCATCGATTCTTATATTCAATTTCGTCCAGCAACAACGATTTAGTGCACTTTCAATGTTTCGTCTTTTGTCAGACAATTTCAAATTTAGTCCAAACAAATTCAAACAATGAGCACACGTTTTCGACCCGGTGTATTCAAATTCGTCTAATATTGATTTATATGAGATGAATTCGATCTCTGAATGCTGCCATTCGGCAACAGGTAGACGGATTTGATCTGTTATGACAAATATTCTCGACCCCTAAAAAGGGTTACCAAACTTTGAAATTGAATAGTAAATGACTAAATTGGTTTTGTTAAAAGCATGTTAAATTTTTCTCGGACGAAATTGAATGTTGGAGTTGGTGAATCTGAATGCAAAATGTTTTAAAATAGCCGGGAAAACCTATTATAATAATAATAATAAATATAATTTAAAAAAGATAACTGACAATCCTCTTTTAACAGAAATCTGTCAACTTTGTATCAAAAATCGTTCTTTTTTATTTCAAATAATCAATAGTTCTCCCTCTTCAATCCTTTCAAAGGTATACAATATCAAATATAAAACTATTTCCTTTCACGATTGTGATTATTGTATTCAAATCTTTCTCATTTCTCCAAAGATAAAGGATATTGTAGTCATGTGTACTCAATCTAACCATTTACTTACGCTAACTCTTTACAGGTATAGAGGAAAAATGGTACAATTACCGACAGAAACAATATTAACCGTAACACAAACCAATCGCTAAATTCTTAAAAACAAAAGAGGAGTATCATCATAGTCGATAAATTAAACATAATGAAGACAATTCATATTTCAGCACTTAATAACTTGAATGCTTTTAAAAACAAATCGTGATAATCGAAAAAGATTATGTTCCTTTTTTTATTATGGCTACACAAATATTAAATATGATTATTTTGTTTCAAAATCTAGTATAATCGGCAGATAGGTGATGGGATTGTTCATTGTTTTGATGATAATAGCATGGAATTTGGCACACAGTCAGAGTATGTCATGAAAAATATTTGGCTATAGGGCCATCGCTGGTTTATTTGTCCTTTGAAAAAATATAAGTTGAAAAACAGGCAATGGCAGCCATTTTGAAAATTTTGGCTATATAGAGCCATTTGCGATGGCTCTATAGCCAAATATCTTTCTCAATCTGACTGTGTGCCAAATTGGCATGCTTTTATCATTAAAGAGTGCAATCGCCTCCCTCCCCCAAATAAAAAAATATTTCCGCTATCTGCCCCACTATACCACGAATGGAAATCCCCTCGGAGTGCGTTATTTTCAATGGGTATTCAGGAACTTGTCAAGAAACCAGTCTGTGTTTAACCACGTTGCTTTTGTACATGTATATTTCAATATAGAGTGAGTGCGCATTACAAGTTCAGAACAATTGTTAAATCATAATAACACTATCAAAATTAAAGAAACTTAAAATCACAATAGTAAAAATCAACATATAAGAATACAACAATAATAAAACCTTATCCATATCTTTTACACAAGAAACATCTTAAGCTTGGTTTTTAAATACTGAAAGAGTTCAAGGGAATGAACAACATGCGTGACGTACTTCCACTAGTGACTCTGCTCCACAAGCAGGGTATGCGGTGGCTGACCCGGGTGAGCCCCGAGAATGACTTCCGACCCGAACGGCACGGTGCTGACCCGTGTCGATCCGGGTGAGCTAAACAAACGCACCCAATAATTGAGGGACGGTATTTAAAGTAAGGCAAACAAATAATAATAATCAGTCTCTGGTCAGACCGAAGTTCCGGAATCGATGCGGCGACGCATTATTTTTTTTTTTTTTCAAGCTTGAATTGTACAGACACGGTTGGTACTATTTTGCTTGTTTGTGTCCTCATTCTACATTGGTGTCCTCCATAATTTGCCTTGGTTCCCTTTATCATTTGCCTTGGTGCAATTTTTCCATTCCTTGGTGCTCCTTGGTTCAAAAATTTGAGGAGGTGCGGCAATAGAGGGCGCTTCCGTGTTAATTTGAAGGAAAAAAGGTTGACGCCCATGATTAAAATCGACGCGCGCTGACCAGAGACCAAGTACTTTTTTTGGCCTAACCAGTCAAGAGAAAAATATCGCTCTAGTTTTTGGAGGTAAACACTTGGTGGCACCCTATGCTGTGAATATCTCGTTTTGATGAATATGCATGCGGATATTAAGTCAATCCCACTATGTTCTCTGTCCCAGTCTCGGTCTCGTCGACACTCTTCGGCGGTTGGTACAGCTTGTGAGCGGTGAACATGAAAGCCAACGTGATGAGCTTCAGCGCGAGGGAGAAGATGATGGCATACAGCGCGAGGTCGCTGCGGTTGTGGAACCAGCACTGCCCCCTCTGGCCGTCCTCTTCGTGCCACAGGGTGCAGGTGGCGTCGATGATACTACCAAAGATGATCGGACCCGGTAGGGAACCTAAAAACAATCCATAATCAGAGACGTGAATACGTGCATACGAAGTGAGGATCAGAACTTTATCTATTAAACATAGTTCTTCAGATTTGCGAGGGGATAAGCTGGGTTAAACGGGGTTCCATATAACGTCCTATATCTTCCTTGAATTCAGAGTTCTATATGGTTCTTAAAAATTTACAGAGTTTTATAAAGTTCTTCAGAGTACTTGTCAGGGAACCTGAAACCTACGGCGTTCCACGGTGTTCTAAAGAATGCTTCAGTATGCTATGGGCCTTATTCATAAGTTCGACATATTAAATTGAAGGCGAGGTAAAATCTTATTTTTGGAACTTGCGAATGAAAGTCAAAGCAATGTCATGAAGTAAATTACAAAATCAGTCTGCTCTAATGAATAATTTAAAATTTGTGATTAAACATACCTAGTAATGAATTAAGCCACATTTAAAAAAGAAATAGTCTGGCTCCATTTCATTCAACAGTTCACAATTTATAAAATACATTCAGGGAACACGACCAAAATGGCTTCTTCGTGAATAAGGTCCATAGAATAATACCGGTCTCTAGAGATTCCCCAGGATTCGACAGAGTTCTACACAATTTTACAGCCAGTTTAAAACGTACCGAATGCTCGCACAATGAGTCCGTATATGCCGAGACCGAACGACTGCTGCCCATCAGGAATGCACCTTTAAAAAGAGAAATGTCGTCAAAAATCGTTATGACCTGTGCGATGCCCTGTGCATTCTTCAAGCATGAAAGTCAAAATATCAACCGGCATCTCAAGTGCACATACACACTCGCAGCTTATCCGACAAAAATCCCATTCACCGAAGATGATTGTGATTTATAATGTTGTCATTTCTAAAGATTGGAAATGTTGTTTTGGTTTGTTTCCAGTTGTTGCAGTTGATCCTAAACGTGTAGTCATGCTTGACCTGCTTAGGCCAAAAAAAGTGTCCGGTTTCTGGGTAGGCGCGCGCGTCGCCGTAGCCATGCGCGTCGGCAAAATGAAAAAGTTTTTTTTTTTTTCAATGATGCCTCAAAACCGCCAAACTCACTGGTTTGACTGGAATCCTGCTGCTGCACAATTTTAACGTGT